CCACGCCTCTCCAGCGTCCCCACGGCCTCACTCCCTCCCAGCCGTTCCTCTGCCTGAGCCTGGGGGCGGCTCCCATGGCACCTGAGGACATTCCCCCCGCTGGCCTTTGAGGGGTCCAGCGAGCTGGCCCGAGTCCTGCTGCAGACACACCAGCTCTGCTCGCCCCAGCCCGTCCGCCACAGCCTCTCTCCCTTGTCCTTCAAGGCACGGCTCAAAGGCAGCCTCCCCAGGAAGCTCTGCTGCCTGTGCCTGCTCCGCTTTGCAAGTCCCAGAAGGTGCGGGATGAGCCTGGGCCGCCCTCGCGCACGAGGACCATGCTGGCCCTCGGAGCAGGTTCGGAGAACACGGCTCCTCCGCTCACACAGTGTGCTCAGGCCCATGCAGAGACCTCCCCGCCACCCAGTCTCTCAAGGAGACTCAGCCCTCTGATGAGGGGGAGCTGCCTGCTTGGGGGGTGGGGGGGGGAATGAGTCTGTCACCATGGAAACCACTGACAGTGAAATCCAGATGTGTGTTTGGGTGGCATCCATCACCGCTAAGCAGACAAATCACAGTGAGATCCCGTCACCAAGAACATGGGACCAGACAGGCACATGGACGGCTGGGGTCCTCAGGGACGGGCAGGTGGACCTCGTCTGCTGGGGGCCAGTCAGCCAAGGACAGCGAGGTCGGCTCCCCCAGAGCCCGGGCCAGGCCTCTCGGCTTCTTCCCCTGGACCCCTCCCAGCCCAGCCCCAGGGCCCCTCTCTCTCCTCCCTTCCTGCCGCTCCTTGTGACTGAGAGCCGGCCTGGCCCGGGCTCGACACCGGGAGTCGCAGGTCAGCAGCGCTGTGCAAAACACTGCTCAGCTGGAACAGGGAAGCCCCCGGCCTGACCCGGAAGCCCCAAGGCATTCGAGGGGCCTGAGGGGAGGGGGCGGCAGTTGAAGTGGAGGGGGAACCTGGGGGTTGGTGGAAACCGGGTTGGTGCAAGTATCCAAGCGAGCCCCGGGCCAGAGGTCTGTGGGGCGTGCCCAGGAGCTCGGTGCTCTGCTGAGGCCCCTGTCGGAGAGGGTGGCCCGAGGGGCTGCTCGGGGCGGTGGGAGTGGGCCCCCGTCCTGAGAAGTGGACTGCTCCCAGGGGCCGGAGTCCTCCCCAGTTTCCCAGCCCAGATGAGTTCCTGCCTCAGAGACACCTGAGCAGCGTCTCTGAGAGCACACCTACCGGAGGTGAGGTTGTCCAGGTGAGGTGGGGCAGGCCTCAGGTTAGAGACCTGCTGACGAGCCCTTTCCGAGGAAGGCCGGGACAAATTCTCGGAGAGTGTTGGAGAGAGGGGTCACAGAGTGTCCTTGCTGATGGGCATTGTCACATCCAGTGACCTAGTGACAGAGGACACAGGTAAACCTCCTTGCTGGAGGGAAGCTCTGGGAGCTGCTCTGGGTGAGTTTTTTGGGGGACAGGGGCCTGAACAGGCTGGGCATCATCGGGATGAACAGAGCCCCGGAGCTGGCAGCCAAGCCCCAGGCAGCCTCTGGGCCTGTGGACAGCAGCCAGGAGACCACATCAGTGACACTCACGGCCAAGGAGGTGGGGGGCAGGGGACCCATCACAGGAGCCTCGTCCTGGGCTTCGATGCAAAGGGCCACGTCCAGGAGGGTCCGTGCACCTGACCGAGCGGCACAGAGCTGTAGGGCCTCACTCACAGAACTCACACGCCCAGGCTTTGGGTTCCGTCTCCCGTGTCACAGCGTCTACCCAGAGCTGTTCCGCTGCAACGCAGGCCTCCACGTCGGCCCGCAGCCTCCCGGAGCCCCATTCTGGTCTCAGGACGGGGACTTGCTGACCCTCGGGCAGCAGGCAGGTGGCCAGAAGCAGGCTCCTGTACTCCTGACTTTTCCAGGCTGGAAACTGGTTCTGTGAACAGGGTCACTGTCACCTCTGTGTCACATCTTCTGGCACACGGTCCAGCTGCAGACTGCTGGGCCAGGGGCTTTGTCCAGTGTGTAGGAGGGGGTGGGGGTGGGCAGCACCAAGACAGCTCCGGGCAGCTGGCCTCCCGCGGTCCCTACTTGTCAGGCCTGGACACTGCCCTGCAGCCCCACCCTTGGGCTGTGGACACTGGGCCCCAGCCCATCCCCACACCCCTCAGGGCCCTTCCAGAGGAGGCCCAAGACCACTGCCCCCTCCCACAGGTTCAGCGCCTTGCACACCCAGCACCCATCACCGACTGGCCCTGCCTGGTCACTCACTGGCCCTCCCCAGCCCTTTCCCTGTGAGATGGAGGCCGAGGGCCTGGGGTCCGGGAGTTCCGAGGACCAAGAAGGGGAAGAGATGATGTGCTTTGTGGAAATGAAAGTGGAGCAACCACCTGGGAAAGGCCAGAAAAAACAGAGTGGGGACACGCTGGGCATTCAGAGTGTCTTGTGTGTGCCCTCTGGTCCTCCCCTTCCAAGTGTCTTCTCACAGTGGCCCTTCCGCTGGGTCCTGAAGGTGACAGAGGGGGCCAGGCCTCCAGGTGCCCCGGAAGGTGGAGGTCTAGGGCGAGCAGTGGCCACTCAGAGACAGAGAGGGGTCCCCGGGAAACCCACTCGCCGAGCAGTCGCTGCTCCGCCCAGGCCCAGTCGGACCCCAAGGTCCATGCAGCCCCGACCCACAGGGCCCGCACCTCTGGCCCTGAGCCTGGGTGTGCACACAGGCCCCAGACACAGCCTTTCGGACCAGGCCCACCTGAGACTCGCCTTCTGCACGGGGCTCAAAAGCACCAAACGGTGACATTTACTGCCAATGGTCGGCGAGAAGCTGCACGAAATACCCCCATGACCTCCCCGTGACCTTGGACAGCAGTCTGGCTTCTCCTGGGGCCAAAGGAGCACTTTGCAAGCACGAGGGCCTCTTCAGAACATTCTAAGTTTGTTAATTTTATTATTTGGTTCCAAGCTAGGCTTTCACCTCAGGGCTGAGTGCACCCGTTGGCATGAATCTCTGTGAGAAAACGGTCTGCACAAATTCAAACTGACACCACGGGGCGGGTGGGGAGGGAAAGAGAGGGAGCACACGGCTGGTTGCCATGGCAATCGGAGACCCAGCTTCAGCTCCACTCCGGGAGCGGTGGAGCCGCGCAAATGCGGAGGCCGGCTGCGTCCCCTGCCCTCCGGGCCAGGCTGCACACGGGCGGCAGGGCCACCTCCAGCGCACGGGGCTTCTCCTGCATTCAGGGGCTCAGCTTCCCACGCAGGGGCTGCAGACGAGGCAAGTCCAGAGCTCTCTGGTCAGAGGAGAGGCCCGTCCAGCCCGAGACGTCCACAGCCCAACAGAGGCCGTTCTCGTTCCAGAGACGGTGCATTTTCTGCGAGCTCCTTGAGTGCACATTCTGGGGGCCACACGCTCCCCGGGAGACAGGAGAGGGGGCCCCCAGCTTCCCCGAGCCATGCCGCAACAGCGGACAGCTCCGCCTCAGTGCTGAGCACCCCCGACTAGGGTCTGACCTTCGGTTCCCTTCACCGAGAGGCCAGCATCCTGCCTCGGATGTCTCCGGTTCACCGCCGACGGGCACCACAGTGTCGAGGCTTCGGCAGGGAGTCCGGGACACAGGAGGTGCCCCAAAGCTGGCCTTCCTGAGGGGAAGCAGAGACCCAGGGTCCCAGAAGGGACCGAGGGACCGAAGGCGGCAGCAGGCACCACTTTCCTGGGATGAAGCGAGTCTTTTCTTCGAGTCCCACTGCAGGCTTGTCACACAGGGGCCATCATGTCCTACACACCTTCTTCCCTTCAAAGAGGAGTCTGTGCATCGGGAGGGTGGGCAGGTGCTGCTGCCCCTGCAGCCGACTCCAAGCTCCAGAAAGCAGAGGCTTCCTCCACAAGCTGGGGGAGCGGAGCACAGGCTCAGGGGCCATGCGCCCACAATTTCCACAGCTGCACCGGGCCAGGGCGCCTGGCCAAGGGTGTGTTCCCATCACAAAGCACAGCACCTGTGACTTCCCAGACTTGTCACGCCAAATGGGGTCCCTCTGAGTTCTCTGAGCTGGATGAAGATCTGAGGCCCCCGGCACCCTGTGCGTCCCCACACAGGATGCACCAAGACCAGGTGGGCTTCACAGAACAGCAGCAAAGGGCAAGGAGGCCCATCCGAGGGTGACACTCTAACCAGGCAGCCAGCAAGATGGCCCACAGCTCTGTGCCTCAGTTTCCCATACCACAGGGGCACTGCTCTCGCTGAGCACAGAGCCCCGCCTGCTCCCTGAGGTTGTGCGAGAAGATGAAGCCCCCGGTCCCCCCGCCAGCCCCAGAGCCCGGGGTTGGAGCAGATGCCCCTCCGTGACAGCTCCCAGACCTGGGGACCCAGGAGCCAAGAGCCAGGAGGGGCTGGTGGGACAGCTGCGAGTGGCAGGGCTGCTGGCCCGGGAGCCAAAGGCCACAGACACAGCTCCTCGGATGGAGGGTCCTCGACGGGCCACAGCACAGCCGGCTCTTCCCGAAGGACACCCCACTTTCGCCCAGGTCACCCCTGGAACTCAGGGTGCCAGCCTCCCCCGGGGCCCCCTGTGCCCCCCACCAGGGCCTGAGGGGTCCGGAACTCGGCCTCCGCATTCGGGCGCACTGCGCAGCACAGAACTCGGGACATCCGGTGTGATTTCAGCCCCCGGCTCCGAGGCCAGGACAATCACTGACTCCTGGGAGAGGCTCAGGGACAGGGCCTGAGGCCCCACACCAGGCAAAGGGGACAGTGGGTGATGGCAATGGCCCCACATACCTCCCCTCCCCCAGCCCCTGCCGCTATCCTGGGGAGCTGGGGGCCCTGGGCTCTTCACCTCATTTTCCTGCATCTCTGTCCTGGGAGACCTTCGGGCAGCGATGGGCTGACCCGACCCCACCTCCACCCTGTGACCCCATCCTGGGCACAAGCACCGTGGGGCTCACCCCAGCCTGGGGGATTCTGGGCAGAAACCCCAGTTCAGGGTGAGTCTCCCACCTCCCTCCCCCCACCTCTTGTCGCTGGCCCCAGGCCCCCGGGAGCCCACTGCAGCCCACAGGTCTGGCAAGCAAGCCCAGGAGGCAGGTGGGTCTCTGACCCCCACTCTGACGACCACTGCCTGGCACCTAGAAGCCACTTCCTCCCCGGGGTCCACGCCCCTCACCCTCTAGGCAGAGCCTGCCGAGGAGTCCTGGGGGTCTCTCATCACTTTACCCTTAATGACACCCTTAAAATAGGGCCCCTCCAAATCCAGGGCCACAGGGACCTGGGGACTGCTGAGCAGTCACAGCCCAGGAGACTGAAGGAACAAGGGACCGGCTCCCCCCACCAGGTTCCCAGGAGCCAAGCCAAGGCCAGACCCCTGGGAGCGCAGGCCGGTCAACCTCCGGCCGCTGCCTGTGCTCCCCACTCTGGCCTGCCGGGGCCTGGGACCTGGCTGAGCCGGGGGTGCCAAGGGCCTTTTCTGCCCAGCGCCGGGCGCCCGCAGGGCCACCCTGCTGACTCACGCAGGGACGGGCTCCTGGTGGGTTCGCCTCTGTCTGCACATGTTTGGGTTCGTGATGCTGTGACACAGGGACTGTGAAAACCCCTCTCGGAGCGGTTTCCTGCCCGCATTTCTGTCTGGGGGCCCTGCAAACACCGCACCACGCCGGGAAGACACACCCGTGGTGCCCCTGCCTCCGTGCAGGGGGCCCTCCTCACGTGAGCTGTGCGGCCGCTGGGAGCGAGGCAGAGCCTGGCCGGTTGTCTCTTTAAATCGGCTCTGCAGCCTGTGATGGGCGCGGGAAGAACCACTCCCAGCCTGCGGCAGGGAGCCGGCCACAGCGCCGCCATCCACCTCCCCCATCCCCATGGTTACGGCTCCTGCTTCCCGCCGGTCCCCCGTCCCTGGCTGTCGCCCGCGGAAGCCGGCGCAGTGGCGGTGGCTGGCATTCCTCGCCTGCGCTCTGGAAGCTGCGTGCTGAGAATCTCGCTGCATGTCCGCCCGTCCTGGCTCTGACTCACGTCTCCCGGCCGCAGCCCTGCAATCTGTTGATCGCCTGCGCGCCCAGCGCACGGGCCCCGGGCATGGAGACCTGCTCCACGGCACGGCGAGCTCACCTCAGCTCCCGGGCAACAGGCGCAGCGCCGCTGCCGCTCTGGCTGTTTTTGCCAAAATAGGTGAGAAGTGGGGCTTCCTGTCTCGGGGTCTGAGCGGCGGGTGGGCCCCAGCGGGGAAGCGGGAGGAGATGGGGGAGGTGAGGCTCTGGCTCCCACATCGGTGCCAACCCAGTGAGGTGGCTCCTGCTCTTGGAAATGCAGGTTCCGAGTAACTTTGGGGGAAGCTGAGGGCGGGGGGGCCACAGCCAAAATCTGGGTCTGTGGGGTGGGGGCCGCCAGCCCCTGAGTCCGGCCGTGTCCTCTGCCCAGGGCTGGCTGTTCTTCAGGAGATTAATTCAAGGTTTACGGATGCTCGTGAGTGAATCGGACAGGCAGTTGCCCGGCTCTGTGAGTTCAGTGTCCCGGGCTGGGCACCGAGCAGGGGCTGGTTTTTAAATATGGAGAAGGAAGTTCTCCCTGGGGGGAGCCGTGCACTCAGCCCCCCTGCCCCGGTCGTTCCCATCAGCCTCCGAGTGCCCCTCACAGATGGAGTCCGGAGTCAGAGTCTACAGGCCGGCTGGGCTGAGAACGGCCAGGACGGGCCCTGCCCTGGGGTGGGGGCAGCAGGAAGACCCTCCCCTGCCCTGACCAGGCCCTGTCTTTGCAGGTGGGTCCACTCTCACCCGCCCCACCAGAGTTGCCCTGAGGCCCGTGGCCCAGGGCTTGCCCCACTGGCTGCTGCTCCGGACCTTGACCTTCTGGACAGCCATGGAGGCTGGCAGGGAGAAAGGCGCAACCTAGTCGGCCGGCGGCGACACCTTCTACCTCCACGGCGCTCGCCCTTCAGCAACTTCGCGTGCTCATGGTGAGTCCACACTCACGGGCGCCGGGCCAGGGCCATGCCGAGGGCAGCACCCTGCACAGAGAGGCCCAGGCAGGGCCAGTGAGTGGTCGGGTGGTCAGCCGGCAGGCAGCGGGGCACAGGCCGGTCCTGTCCCCAAGGGTCCTGGGGGGCGGGGCGGCCACTTGTCCCCGCCGCCCGCCCGGCTGCTCGGCGAGGGCCATATTAATTAGTGGATGGCGAGCCGCAAGGTTGAATCACGTCGTCTTCAGCGGAGGAGACTTCCGCCCCACGCCCCCGTCCCCTTCCGATCCCGGGAGCACCTTCCTGGCCCCGGGCCCGGGCCCCTCCCACTGCAGCCCTGCCCACTCCTTCCCTGCAGAAAGTTGGCAGGACCCCAGGCGAACGTGGGTGGGCTTCGGCGGCACGCATAGCAAACACGGGGGTGTTTCTCTCACCAGCAAAGGGGGGCCTGTGAGGGGCTCGTCCCCCAGACTCCTGTGCGACTGGCTGTAGGGCTGCCAGTTCGGACTCCGGAAGGTTGAGGGCCGAGTGAACGATGCATTGTGTGTGTGAGGGCAGCGGCAGTGCGCGTGCGGGGAATGCTGATGGCCGGAGGACAGGGTGGCCAGCAGCAGCCACGGACCCTGACAGTGAGCCCCAACCAGACGCGGTGGTCCGAGACGCTCGTTCGTCTTCTCTTGATTGGAGATGCTGGAGCGAGAGCCATGCTTTCTGCCAGTGTCACTCACAGGCTTCGGGGGCTGGAAGGACGCCAAGCCCTCGCCTCCCTAACGGCAGAGAGGCTGCGTGTTCTGGGCACAGGCCGCTCCTGGCAGAGGCCGGCGGCCCGCCCGCCCCCCGCCCCTGGCGTGCACTTGTTGCCGTGTGGCCTCCCCACAGCAGAATCCCAAGCTCTCCCTCCTCCGAGGTGGGTCCCATGGGCAACATGGAGCCCGTGGCTGGTGGAGGAGAGGTGACCCAGCAGGAGCTCCAGGGCCACCGCGGGGCCCGCTGCCCACCGGCCCCCCCGAGCTCTTCTCCGTTCCCGGGACTGGTGCACGCGCCGCCCGCTCGGCTGTGCCCACGGAGATGGGGCTGCAGCGCTGTGCGGGGCACTGTCCTAACAAACGACGGTTGCCCTGGGGAGAGTTCCTGAACAAAACGGACCCGGCCGGCCCTCCCTGCGGGACAGTCAGGTGCGAGCCCTTCCCTGTGTGCGTCTGAGACCCAGGGGCACAGGAGGGAAGCCCGAGGGCCTGGCTGGTGAGGGGCCCGCCCCTGCCTGCCCCAGGCTGCCGCCCTGCTGACCCCTGTGGTCGGCAAGCTGCCTCTGGACCCCGAGTCTCCACAGCCACCCACTGAAGCCCAGCTGTGCTGACCTCCAAGCGTCCCGGGGCAGCCTCCTTTCGGGATGTGCTGCCTGGCGCTCGGGCGAGGTCTGGACACCCAGGCGCTGCCCCGAGGAGGCCTGTGTCTGGCACCTGAGGCCCCGGCCACCACCGCCCCACTTTCATCCCAACGGTTAGGAAATGGAGCCCTTCCACGTCCCTGCCCTTCACGGTCGGGGTTGAAATGCGGGCAGGCTCCAGGCAGGCCCTCGGGGACCGCCCCTCCTCTGATAAAGGACCGTCTGGGCCCCAGCACTTTCTCTGCCTCCTTCCGGAGCCGCGTCGGTGGCCCAGCCCTGGTGCTGTGGGTGGGGCCAGGCTGCAGGGAGAGGCCTGGCACAGGTGCTGCGGCCACCTGCTCTCACCTCCGGGCACGGTCACATCGGGTCGCACTGAGGGTGAGCTCCTGTCCCCAACCTGCCAGCTCCAATGGCACAAAGGACACTCCGTCCATCCCGGGTGATCCTGGCTCAGGAGGCACCGCAGCAGCAGGGCAGGGCTCCCGTTCGTACCCCAGCAGAGCCCCTGAGTGCTGTGACTTTGGGGCTCAGGGTCAGGGTCAGGGCCCCGAAGCCAGGACAGGGCAGAGGCCAGCTCCTGCCCAGCCAGGCTTGGAGTGGAGACACACAGCAGGCTCCCGATACCCTTTTCCCCACAGAAGCGCCCCATTCAAAAAGGGACTTACAACTCCTGAAGAGACCGGGGTCGAAGCCAGGCAGGGCATCCGTGAGGCCACTGAGGGAACTGCAGGACTTCTGAGCCGCTCAGGCCCTGGGCCCAGTGCCACCCAGGACGCTCCAGCTCTGAGTCGGCCACAGTCTGTCCACCTGTGCGTCCACCCCACGCCCCCTGCCAGGCTGAGCCCAGGGCCCCCAGCCTCGCCCGCAGGCCGTCCTGCCTGCCGCGAACACGAGAGAAACCCCTGTGAGGGCTTCCTGTTGGCTGCCTGTAATCCCGCCCAGTTTCCACTCTTCCAGATGCTCCTAAAACCACCCTCATCTCACAGTTCGGGAGTGTCACCCACGAGTCATCCCCTTACTGTGACCAACGCTAGGCAGGTGATGCGGGGCCCAGCAGGAAGGCCCGGGGCGCTGCTCAGGGGTCTGTCTCAGCAGCCGGAGAGCCCACACGCCCCTCAAAAGGAAACCACAGCAAGCGTGTAAATGCAGCATCCGATTAGGGTGATCTGTGCTCTGAACCAGTGAATTACTGATCCTTTTCCTCTGCTTTTCCCAGGGACACTTTGATGAAAGGTTGACAGATCAATAAGATGCAATTACCATTAAAAAGGGACACCAGGCTCTAAGGAAATCAGTCTCAGTCGACTGTGAGGAAGGGGGTCTGTGTCCCCCAGCTGGCCGGGCCCCTTCTCCCGTGTCACTCGCAGCTAAAGGGTGACGTTTTGCTCAGACAAGTGACATGCAACCCGACTGATGGCCCCCTTCCTGTTGTTCTTACGTCCTGATTGATGTGATTTGCGGGACATACGAGAAAACACGTGCGAGTAACATAATGTTACGTGAAAGGAAGTTATGCCACCCGACCCGGGAACTCAGACAAACACACCACCAGGCCCTCTGTGGGGCCAGAGGGGGGCCCCCCAGCCCCCACTTCCACCCCGGGGCTCCCAGCCCTTCAGCCGTGAGGTCCGGGCTCCACCCAGGCTCGTTGCCCTGATGGGCCCACTGGGGCGGTGGCCTCAGGGACTCACCCCAGACGTCAGCCCAGAGCTGCCGACCACCTAGGACAATCGTGAGGATTTGCTCGTGGGACGCTTACAAAGTAGACGCTTCCAAGAGGAACTCACACATGTGTGAACTTGGAAGTATAAAATATGTCTCTGTTTTGCATTTTAAATGTCACCTCTAAAAATGGAGAAAGGCACTCCGAGTCGGAGAAAAAAGCAAGCCAGGGCCAAAGGGAGCTGCCGGTGTCTTGTCCAACACCCGCTGTGGGTGCAGCTGCTCCGGCGGGGGGGTGGGGGGCACCTCCTGCTGACTCAGCACCGGGGGGCCTCAGGCTCGGGCCCGAGGAGGGGGAGGGGGAAGTGCCCGCTGCCGGGTGACTGCCTGGCCTGCAGCGGCGGCCTGGGCACGTCCCACCAAGACGACGTCCCTGAGTCTGGAACCGAGGCTCTGGGTGTTGGCCCGTCACTGGAAACCCCTCCTGGTTTCTTAGTTGGCTTCAGCAGGGGCCGGGTGGATGAGGCCGTGGGTGAGTCCTGGGCACGGCTGTGGTGCGAATCCAGGGCCTCGCCGAGCACGGCGCTGCCTCGGCGTGAGCGCCTGCTCTGCTCTGCGTGGCCCCCTCTCCACCACCACCCAGTGCCAGTCCCTGGGTCTGACGTCGGCGAGAAGCCACAGGCCTTGAAGGGAGCCGTGTGAGTCCCCCAGCATCACCGCCCAGCGGCAGTGCCCTGAGAAAGGCCTCGAGGGTGTGGGAGCCCCAGAGGGTGGGCACCGGCCATTCAGCTCAAGGACATGGATGTGGGTACTCTGGGCCGGGAAGAGCTGACCGGCCGTGGGGACCGTCACAGGCACACACGAGGCTTGTCGTGCTGGCCAGCTGGTGGCTGTCGTGGGAGGGAGGAGCCGTGGATTCCCACGAGGAGGGTGGCGGCTCAGGAGTTACCGGGAGACATCACCGCACCCGGCCCGACCCGATTCCTAAACCTGCTGGGAAGAAGCAGCGAGGGAACGGCACTGGAGCTCAATGGCAGGACTGGACCAGGCCTGAGCAGCCGCTGCCGAACCGTGACGAACGCCTGAGAAGTCCGGGTGCTGACGGGGGGTGTGTGGTCCCGCAGGCAACGCCCCACGCTGCTCCCTGAGGCCCATTAGGCTCCTCTTCTTCACCAACAGGCAGTTCTGCCCCCGGCACAGACGCCGTCCTCACACAGGCAAAGGGTCCCCGGGGCCGGATGGCAGGCCCGGCGGGTGTGAGGCCAAGTGGCCGTGGCCAGGCCTGTGGGCACGTGGTCGCCGACCCTCCTCGGGGCCCAGCATGGACGGTCCTCCCAGCTGGCCGCTGCTGCGGTGCCCATCCCCTTGGGGCTGGCTTCCCTTGGCCGTCTCCTACCTGAGCTCATGACTGGGTGGGGAGCCGGGCTGGCGGTCCCCGTGCGTCTGTTCAAGCCCCACATGGCCCTGACGGGGCCAGTGCCACTCATGTGCACCGGCCTTTTACACGCCCTCATCAGTGGACAGTTGGATGGAGCACGGTGCCACCATGGCATCCAGCCTGCCCTCCGCGGAGCATCCCAGCGCCCTCCCCAACCACGTCTGGTCATCACTGCATCTGGGCCAGGACGCTACTTCTGGCCTCAGTGGTGGACCAGGTCGCTCGGCTGTTAGCCCCTGCAGAAGCCCCTTGGCAACAGGGGCACTTACGTGAGGTCTCTCCGCTGTCATGGGGGCAGCCGATGGTGCTCAGTCACCAGGGAAATTCCCCGAGGGCTGTCAGAGCCCCGTGAAGACGGCCACGGAGCTGACCCTGAGGGCGACGCCACGCACAGGCCCACGAGGCCGTGGACCCCCCAGATAAGCACTCCCTGAGTGGGGTCTTGCCCGGCTGTGGCAGGGTGGCCCCCGCTGCCGAGACCCGGCCAAGGTCCCCTGATTCAGAAAATGCCTCGGGTGACATGCAGGGCGGGGTGAGGTGGGGCCTCAGGGAGAACCCCGTGGGTGGGCCACGCATGCAGCCTCCCGGCCGCGCCGCTCACACGGGCCTGCTCTGTGCTCCTTCCAGGATCTGAAGACCGTGCTCTCCCTGCCCCAGCACCCAGGGGAGTTCCTGCACCCCGTGGTGTACGCCTGCACGGCCGTCATGCTGCTCTGCCTCCTGGCCTCCGTCATCACCTACCTCGTGCACCGCAGGTGAGGCCCGCGTCGCCCCCCAGATGCAAACCCCAAAGTGAGACCCCCCACCCTCATGTAGCGAGCCGTCCCTGGAAAGCACATCACAGGTTGCTGGCCAGCCTGAGCCTGCCCGGCAGAGGGGGCCCTGCAGGTGGCAAGGGTGGCCGAGCGTCGGGGACAGCCAGGCCCACCCATTCCGGGCGTCCACGTGCCCGTCACATCTGGGACGTGAGTTCCTCCCGAGGCACAGCCTCCGCTCCGGCACCTGGGAGCCACACCCATGGGAAGTTGGCGTGGCCAGCAGACGCTAAGGCACTTCGGCATGTGCCTGTTTTTCTAGAACAGGGAGACCAGTCAGGTCTCTGCTGGCTGGGTGTCCTGGCCACCTCTGCCTCGGAGCAGGGAGATGACCCGGCCGAGTCCCTGTCACTCTATGGCACCCTGGGGGGGTCCAAGGAGGGGTCCCAGCCAAGTCAGGGTCTAGCCCACAACTCGAGTTGTGGGCAAAGCCTGGACCGTGGCACAACCACACAGCCACGGCCACGGGAAGAGGCTGTGGCTACAGGCATGGCTGTGAGCACGGGCCTGGCGACCTCAGGTGCAGCCACAGCCGGGGCAGCACCAGAGCCCGGGGGAGGCGTGCAGTCAGCCCCTGTCACGGCCTCCTCTGGAGGGACCAGACAACTGCTCAGAGAGGGAACAGGAGACCAGGGGTGCCTACTGCACCCCGCCGCTGTCACCATCTCGGTGACCGGACAGGTGTCCTCACCTGTCAATGGCCAGGTGGTGCGAGATTTCCCCCAAACCCTCCCAGCCCTCTTGTTCCAGGGGGATTTAACATCGAACCCCACCAGCCACACGGTCCGCCTGTCTTCCCCTCCACACGGACCTCGGGGTGTCTCTCTGCCCGGCTCCCACGGGAGCAGGCTGAGTGGGGAAAGGGCTGGGCCTCTGCGAGGGGCAGGTCCTGACTCTGCACCTGCGTGTCCGCAGCGCCATCCGGATCAGCCGCAAGGGCCGGCACACGCTCCTGAACTTCTGCCTGCACGCGGCCCTGACCTTCACCGTGTTTGCCGGCGGCATCAACCGCACTGCCTACCCCATCCTGTGCCAGGCGGTGAGTGCGGCTTGGGCCTTCCTTCCGCTGCAGGGGGGGGTGAGGCTCCTTGCCTCTCCCGCCGATCGGAGACCTGCGGTAGCTGTCTCGCTTGTGAGGTCAGTCAGGGCGTCTGCCCAGGTGCTTCTTGGGAAGGGGCGGCGAGGGGTCCAGTGGGCCCCTGGCACAGAGCCAGGTGAGTCTGGTGACTGCTCAGTGTTTGGTCACGTAAATGGTTTGTTTTCCACTCGAACCAGCCTGCACCCAGCCTGGGGTGCGAGGCTGACCAGACAGACGTTGCCTTCCCACAAACGGGGCTCGTCCAGAAGTTGGGGTGCACCCTGCAGGGCCTGGGGGGGCTACCTGCTGCCCCGTCCAGGTAAGACTTTAGGAGGCCAACGCCAAGACACTGTCACCAGCGGCTGCCACAGAGTCCAGGCCACAGTGACGTGTACGGAGGCCACAGAGGGGCTCCTGGCTGGCTCAGAAGAGGCCCCTCCACCATCTGGCAGTCAGGGAGGAGGCCCTGCCTCCCAGCCCCTGGCCCAGCCCACCTGCTCCCTTCAACCCCACACCCCAGGTGGACAGTGACCCCAGTAGACTTGACTCCAAGGTAGACAGTGACCCTGGGTAGACAGTCACCCTCAAGATGGATAGTCACCTCAGGTGGACAGTTACCTCCAAGGTGGACCGTGACCCCATGTGGACGGTCACACTGCTAGCACCCAGGCAGGGCCTGGGGAGGGCCGCCGCCCAGACCACAGAGCTCCCTGCGGGCTGCCCTCTTCGGCTCCTCCTGGCCCACGTGCAGGGAGCTCTCGCACCCACACGGATGGCCCGCTGTCCTCACAGCCGTGCCCCCGTGGGCTTGTTGCCTGATGCCGGGGGCAGGCAACTGCGGCCTCTGCACCTGAGCCCGTGTGTGTTGGCGCCGACCTGGGCCGCTGTCCGTCCGCAGGGGAAGGCCTGTCCGCCTCACCCTGGGCACTGGGGGGTGAGAAGCTGCTCCCGCAGGAGAGCCTCGGGGAAGACTCAGGCTGTGACTCCGGCTCCGCACATTTACCCACCCACCCGCCCGCCCACAAGCGCAGCCCCCGGCCCATAAGACAGGTCCCTGTCCCGAGCCTGGCGCCCTGGGGCCTGGACCCCTGGCCCCTGACAAAGAAGACGTTACTTCTCCACAAATCCATGCCAGGACCGGCGTCCAGCACAAACCTGGAAACCGGGATGAGGACGGCCAGCCTCCCCACACCTTTCCAGGGGGTGGAAACCGCTGAGGCAGGCGCCAGGGGATCCGACTTACGGTGCCGGCAGTGCGGCTGCGGCGTGGAGCATCCACATCTGCGCCCGGGCGCGCCCAGGGCCGGGCCCAGCGGGAGGAGCCACCTCCCCACTAAGACCCGGTCATCACAGCCCGAGGGGGCCCAGACCCCTGAAAACGCGGGAGCCGTCTGTGTCTGCCGGGCGTCCTCGTGGCCCCCCAGGGCCTGGCCGGTGCAGCAGGGGGCGTGGCCAGGGTGCGCAACCTGTGGCGGCAGCGCAGCCTGGAGGTGTCTGGAGAGGTGACATCAGTCAAGTTCACGCTGGTGTGAGAGCCACTCGGCCCCCTCGCAGTGGCGCCCTCTGGCACCCGAGAACCAGCTGGCCCTGACCTCTCCGCGACCTTCGCATCCATCTACAGAAATGCACTGGGGGCCTGCGGGTGCCGGGGGCGCAGCCAGGAGCAAGCCCTTCAGCCCCCGAGGTGGGGCTGCGCAGCGACCTGCCAGCGCTCAGACACACGGAACCAGCCAGGCTCAGGCCCGTCACCTCGGAGGGGACTGGGGGCCCAGGACGGGGTGGCGGCCACTTCGTGTGTCCCTTTGACGGGGTCACCGGGCACCCAGATGTGTGGAACATGACTCTGGGTGTGTCCGTGGCGGCGTTGGGGGCGAGTGAGCCGACGGCCCTCCCCAGACTGGTGGCCCCGTCCAGCCTGCTGGGGCCCGAACAGAATGAAATTCTGAGTGAGAAGCAGGTCCATCTCTGGCCTTTGGACACAGACAGGATGAATCACGCTGTCAGTCTCCGGGGTCTCCAGCAAGCTGACTGCAGGCCAGCCCCACCTGGACCAGGGACACCACACACGGCCCAGGAACCGGACACCAGACCCTGGCCACCTTCCCCGACGGTGCTGCCCAGGGCAACAGCAAATGAGGCACAAGAAGGGGTCTGAGCTCTGGATGGTGGAGAGAACAGGCGGTTGTTATAGCAACAAAAATGACCATGTGTCTCATTAAAGTGCGAAGCGACATCATGAACACAGACAAGCGGCAGCTTCATCTCCACAGCACACGTGTGTGTTTGCACCGCCCTGGGCCCGAGCGTGGAGTGGCGTGGAGCGCTGCCCAACAGCCCGGACACAGTCCCTGTGGCCCCGGGTGTGTCCAGCCTGCATCCAGGTTTCGGAGGCGGGGCTCTGCCGCTCGCCAGCCCTCAATATCCCCACTCGTGTGGCCGAGGCGCAGCTCAGCCCTTCGACACCCTCGCCTGCACCATGGGCTCCGCATGCTCTCCGCCCTCCTTGTCTCCACCCACCGCTGCGTCTCTGACTGCACTTGGGCACGAGGACGGCCACACTGTCGTCCCCTGGAGAGAAAGGCAGGCCGGCCCCCCTCCCTGCTGCTTCTCCTGGTGCCCAGCGTGCCCCTGAACTCTAGCACCACCCCCACCAACTCAGGGGTGAGGCCATGTGCGTGGGAAGAGTGCAAGGCCGAGGAAAAGGCTGGACTCGCCCACCCTAAACACAATTCAGGGACCTCCCAGGTTCTCATCGATTGCTGTGGAGTTTTCTCGTGAGCAGGCACAGAACTTTGCATCTGACGGGCAGTGCTGGTTTCTCCAGGGAACCTGTGTCCCCTACACACTGACGTCCTTCCAGTTACAGCCGCGTCCCACCCATCACCAAGCAACGCCAGGTTACCTTCAGGGGTCACTCGCTCTCTAGAGCCGCACGCGACAGAGCACGGGGTGTGTGATTAGCTAATGCAGTAAGTGTGGCCAAGGGACGCACCCAGCGCTGTTTCCATAGTAACAAGCACCTCCGGTTTGCAGGGAGTTAACTGCCCATTCATCCAGAAGATGCTGGTCTCACCAGCAGCCGACACAAGGCTCCAGCACCTGGGAGACGGTCCCCACGTGGACTCCATGGGGGGCGAGGGGCAGTGGGCACCTGCTCCCTGGGCTGGCAGAGCCCCGCCCCGGCCATGCCCACCACAGGGACACGCGCACTGGGGCCCCATGTGCAGGGTGTGTGCACATCCCTCAGGGTCACCCATGTAGCTGGCCCAGCGTGGACCACGCCTGGGGTGCTGTGCACGCAAGCAGCTCCGCCAGAGCGTTCAGCTGCTGAGTCAAGGCTTCCCTGCAGCCCAGAGCACGTCTCCCTGGTGCTCGGAGGCCCCTGGGAAGTGCAGCTTCTGCTAGAGCCAAGGACCCTGGTGCCCCTGTCACTGTGGAGCCACTGGCTGAGGACGAGGTGGGACCGGAGGCTGGACGGCTCGGCCTGCTGCCGGAGGGCAGAGCACTGGCAGGCAGCCGCTGACCGGTCTCCCCCGCAGGTGGGCATCGTGCTGCACTACTGCTCGCTCTGCGCCCTGCTGTGGATCGCTGTGACCGCCAGGAACATCTACAAGCAGGTCACCAAGAAGGCCCCGCCATGCCCCGGCGCAGACCGGCCGCCGTACTCCCGGCAGCCCCTGCTCAGGTACCCAGGCGCGTGCTCGCGCCCCCTGCCCCTGGGCTCCAGGAGCCCCAGCCCTCCACCTGTGCTGGGGGTGTCGGCCGAGTGTCTCACAGGAAAACTTGGGCGGAGGTCACCGTAGCCGGGGGTTGGGGGATTCCAGGGGGTGTCGGGGCGGGCAGTGGGCTGGGGACTGGGGCCTGGCCTGCGCATCTCGGGGCCAGTGCATCTCTCCAGGGCTGCTGAGCTCCACGCCATGGGGGGCCGTGGTGCAGACGTTCCAGGAAGTGGGATGGGGTGGGGGGGTCTTTGGTGGCCTCGGTCATGCACAGATCTCCGAGTTAAGACTCCTGCTTGTTATCTGGGGAAACCGAGGCAGTGCAGTGTCTGCAGTTGCTGTTTCAAGGAGACGGCCCTGGGCGCTTCATCTGGGGCTCACGGCGGCTTGGAAAGGGGCCTGGCTCCAGCCAGGCACCCAGCTGCTTTCCCAGGCCGGGGGGCTCTGGGTGCATGGGTGGTCCCATGAGAAGAAGCCACTGCCACAGTGGGGTGGGGGGTGTGGGCGCCTGGCCCCTAGGGCTGAGCTCTGTCTGGCTCTGAACTTGAAGGGCTCTCCACCCACACCCCCGGGTGCCCAACAGAGGACCCCGTTTGGAGGCAGATAACACAGGGCCCTGTGCTGTCTGTGGCACCGAGGTGACCCCCACCAGAGGGACCCTCACCTCATTTGGCTTTCAGATAAGTAGCCTCCGGGGCCTGTGGTGCGTGTGTGGGAGGCAGGGTTTCGTTACCTCATCTCCCCTCAGAGGCCCCAGGCCCCTGGATTTAAACAGCATCTCAGTGCCTGTCCTGGTCTGCAGCCAGTGACTGAAGGGTCGCCTGGATTTTTGATGAATGAGATGGAGGCCAGGGAGCACTGGGGTGCTTTCCTCTGTGACAGCTTCACCACGCCCCTAGCCACCCACGTGCCAAGGGCTCCTGGGCCTGGGGACCTCCAAGTCGGTTGTTCGGGACACACAGCCGCTGCCGCGGCCACCTCTGTGTCCTGAAGGCCCTCGTGTGGGCCAGGCGTGGGGCGTGTGGCACTGAGACCCCTGCAGCTCCCTATTGGTCTCAGTGTGCACTCGGTCCACAGGCGCCGACCGGCAGGGGCGGGGCAGGGGCGGGGCAGGGGCGGGGCAGGGACGTCACTCAGGCCTGCACCCAAGGCTGCTCTCTGCTGCCCTCTGCTGGCCTCCGCTGCCCTCTGCCCGGGAGGCCAGTGTGCTAGGTAGGCCCAGGGTTTCCCCAGGGAGACCAGAGGCTGGCGGCAGGGTGGGCATCCTCCCGGGCCCTCCAGGCACAGCAGCTACTCTTCCGGCTCAACCTAGAGGCATCTTTATTCGGGGGCAGCTCTTCCCACCGCCCATTGCAGCACCACCACCCCCGACCTGCTTCACACATACTTTTAAAACGTCAGGGAACGGGTATCTGCTGTGCCTGACCTGAGCAGGCTGTGGGCGGAGTGTCAGATTGAACTCCGTGTTCTGAGTGCAGGTGACCAGCAGATCTGGCTGCCGCCCAGGGGACCCCAGGACTGGGACCAGAAGGACCCAACCGGGGTCTGTTCCCTCTGGCGGGGGGGGGGGGGGGGGCCTGGGGCCGTGAGGCACGGAGGGAGGAGGAGCGAAGCCATAGGATGAGCTGAGACTGGGGTTTATCACACTCACAGGGAGGGGTCCCCATATGCCACGCAGGGCCCCTCTGGGCTGCTGGCGCCAGGGAATGTTGCTAGACGTTGGGAAGCAAACTAGATGGCAGGTATGAGGGCCAGGCCAGAGGGGGGGCCTTTCTCGGGGTCTCTGTGGAACGGGACGGCAAGGATCTGTGGACCCACTGGGGACCTTTGCCTCGGGAGTGTCCACACAGAGCCTGCCCCGCCCTCCAGCAGGAAAACCACACAGGGTGTCTGACCGGGGGGGCGGCGGGGGCATGGGCAGGGGCTGGGACTAGCCACGGGGGCATCCCTGCCAGCTCGGCCGCCCGGCCGCTGGTGCTGCCCTGGTGGGCGGCTGCTTGGCCAGGACCCCGGGGCAGAGCCTCCCACCTCGGCCCCGAAGCTGGGGCTATCCCTGGGGACACCGCTGGGTTCGAGGGGCAGTGAGCGGTCCCCTGCTGTCCGCAGGCTCTACCTCATCAGCGGCGGAGTTCCTTTCGTCATCTGTGGAGTCACGGCTGCCACCAACATCAAGAATTACGGCCCAGAGGATGAGGACGCAGCATAGTGAGTACAAGCACTGGGGGGAGGGGGCCCCAGGAGCGCCTCCCGGGTCCAGTTGCCCAGGCTTCGGGGCGCCCAGCAGACACAGCTGCTCGGGGGCAACAGACTGAAACAGCCCAGAAATGAGGTGGAGCCTTGCTGAGGCCACACAGGGAGGGACCAGGGCCACCTTGTGACTGTCCCCGGGCGTCCCTGTGCTCACAGTGCGAGATCTGGGTGTCCTAAGATGTCCCCCTCCCTGACAGACTCCGTTCCCCCAGCCTCTCTCCCTGGGCACCTGGGGCTGGTTCTGTGGGGGTGGGGGCCCGGGGACCAGCGACACCTGGCAGGAGAGCCAAGGTCAACAGAGCTGAGTCAGACCCCCCGGATGCCCACCCCCAGCTGCATGGCCCCAGACACTTCCCAGCACCCGCCCGCCCTCGAGCCCAAGGAGCACCAGCAACAGCCCCGGGTGGGTGGGCAGAGCCCCTTGCTCATCACCTCCCCACAGCTTGGCGCCTGGGAAGGCCAGTCTCGCCCCCAGGTTCTCAATAGCACCTTCCCCAGACCCTCGGGGCCCTTGAGATGCCCCCCCACCATCACTGGCTCCTGCTCTGCCCTCAGCCTCCCCCCAGGACTCACAGCCATTCCCTCCACAGCTCACCCCTCCTGGGGCCCAGCGGGCGAGGGGCAAAGAGACAGGAGAAAAGCAGCGGCACCGACAGTGGCTGGCACAGGACACGGTGGCACCCAGTGTGCACCCCATACTCCCCACCCCTGTGTGCTCTGACCTGGTGACCCAATGACCGTGTCATCGCTGCAGGGCCACGCTGTCGATGTCCTCCTTACTCCTGCACTCACTATGCAGAGTGTCCTCTGCCCCCGAGCTCAGGGACAGGGGACCCCACCCGTGAGGTGCCCTCCACGGCCCGGCCCGTGCTGACCAGCTCTCCCCCCACAGCTGCTGGATGGCCTGGGAGCCCAGCCTGGGTGCATTCTATGGGCCGGCGGCCTTCATCGCCCTCATCACCTGCGTACACTTCCTGGGCGCCCACGTGCAGATGCGACGCCACCCGGAGCGCCGGCACGAGCTCAGGGAGCGGGCGGAGGAGCAGCATCGGCTGGCAGGGCCAGAGGCTGCCCACGGCCCCAGGGCGCCCCCCGGGCGGCTGACCGCCGACGCCGGCGCAGCCCTGGCCGCCTCGCTGCTGCAGAATGAGCACTCGCTCGAGGCCCAGCTGCGGGCCGCGGCCTTCACGCTGTTCCTTTTCGCGGCCACATGGGCCTTTGGGGCACTGGCCGTGTCCCAAGGCCCCTTCCTGGACATGGTCTTCAGCTGCCTGTACGGCGCCTTCTGCGTGACGCTGGGACTCTTCGTGCTCATCCACCACTGTGCCAAGCGGGACGACGTGTGGCACTGCTGGTGGTCCTGCTGCCCCTCCCGCCGGGGCGCCCACCCTGCCCTGGACGCCAACGGGGACGCCTTGGGGCGCACCGCCTGCCTACAGGACTTGCCATGTTCTGGCAAGCCGCGGGGCTTCGGACACCCGCCGGCCGGCCACTGCAAGATGACCAACCTGCAGGCTGCCCAGGGCCACGTCAGCTGCCTGTCGCCGGCCACGCCCTGCTGCGCCAAAATGCACTGTGAGCAGCTGCTGGAGGACGCGGTCCTCGCGCACGAGGACGACGCCTGTGGGCACGACCCCCACCTGCACAGGTGCCTCCAGGGCAGGACGAAGCCGCACTACTTTGGCCGTCACCAGGCCGCCGCGGCGGAGCAGGAGTACGCCTACCACATCCCGTCCAGCCTGGACGGCAGCCCCACCAGCTCAGGCAGGGACAGCCCCCCCAGCTCACTCGAGGGCCCAGTGGGGACACACGGCCTGGCCTGCTGCGCCCAGGGCGACCCCTTCCCCTTGGTCAGCCAGCCTGAGGGGGGCCACGGCAGCCCCACACTATACGGCTGTGCCCCGAGGCCCGGCAGGGAGGGCGCCCGGGGGCCAGCCCACTTCGAGATGCTGCGAAGGACACAGTCCCTGCCCTTCGGGGGCCCCGGCCCGAACGGGATGCTCAAGGGCAACGAGTGTGAGGCGGGGCCCTACGGCGCCGACAGCACGGGCAACATCCGGACGGGGCCCTGGAAGAACGAGACGACCGTGTAGCCGGCACCCAGCCGCCCCAACAGGCGTCAGGACAGAGCAGGGACCCTCTGCCTCTCGGGGGCCAGGGGTGGGGACCACCACATGACACAGCCTCTCAGGAGCGGCTGACGCCCCCTGCTGACCCCTTGCCGTGAAGGACTACAGTGGGAACACACTTTGGGGGGCTGCTGCCTCCCCCAGCCCTGAGGCCTGACCAGCCGTCCATGCCCACAGCCACCGCTTTCCAAACACAGCCCCAGCCCCTCACCGCCCGGCCACACAACCACAGCAGCAGGCACCGTGCGTGTGTTCTAGCGTTCAACACGCGTGTTACATTTTCTTCTGGGTGGGCAGCCTGCAGACACAGGGGCGCCGGCTGGGCTCCGGGAGCAGGTCGCCCTCGGAGGGGCCGGGGGTCCACACTCTGCAAAGGCCCAAAGCCCCGTAACGAAGACAGACTTCCAAACCCAGTCCTGGGCAGGACTGGGTCCTGCTCCAACAGGGGCATTTGGGAAAAACGAAGTCCCCTGCCCCCCAAACCGGAGGGGCTGGCGTTCCCGTGAACGTGTGGGCCCAAGGCCAGACTCGGGATGAAAGGGCCCATGGGTCACCCCGGGGCAACAGCCTGGACGTCCGGCAGGCCGCCCTCCCTCCTCCTCCTTCTGGAACTGACACATGTAGACACGCATAACACACCTACATACATGCCACATGTGTGTCCACCCCTCCTGTGCCCACGTCACCACCACACAGGCACTTGGTACCTGGCGCACAGGCAGAGTAGCCGGGTGTTCCGTGCTCGGCCATCGCTGTGACTCTCGGCCGCGCTCTGCCATCCAGGTGGCTGACGTCACAGGAGAAGCACCTGCCTTCACACACACGGGTGGGGGGTGGGCGCAGAGCAAGCAGGTTGGGCGCCCTGGCTCCCACACTCGGCCTCGGAGCACCGGGAGCCCCACTTCCCAAGCCCGACAGGGGAGCTGTGGCTGAGCGTGGCGTCGGCACCCGCCGTGGACCTCTCCCAGGTCGGCCCGACCAGCCACTGGGCGACCGCCGGGCGGTTCCTGCCTCCGCCACCGTCCGGGCCGTTCACCTGCTCCCGTGGCCCACACCCCGAGACCCGATGCTGTGCCCTGCCCACACTGTAGACGCAGGGCCGTCAGGCCAAATACAGTGTTTGCGTCGTTCGCCCGTGTGCGGCTTGTTCATGGCACCCGTGTGGGTCTCTGACCCTTGGGGCAGCCACCTCTGGGTGAAGCCTGCTCTGCACCCTGGTGCTGGGGAGGGCTGCTGCCCCCCAGCACCCTCCCACCCTCAGCTGTCCCCACAGAACGGAGGGTGCACCTCGTTATTCCAAGCAGAGTCGCTCAGCACCGAGAAAGTGACCTCGAGAGGTCGGTCTGGGGTCTGGGGGAGCAGCACCGTGACACGCCCCACGGGCTGGTGAGGCTTCCAGAGCACGAAGACTCACAGCGCGGCCACAGACGGGCGCTCGCGGGGAAGGCGCTTCTGGAAGGGGGGTGGGTGATGGAGCCCAGGCTCCTTGCCCTGCTCGCTGCGCATGTCTGCTGGTGTGCACAGGTGTGGGTGGGCCGTTGTACGAGTTCTGTGCGTACATGAGTGTGCAATGAGAGCACGGACTCAGAGAAGAGTGCGTGTGTGTCTGTGTGTGGAGCCACAAGGCTGTGCACACGGGAGCCCATGCACGTGTGTGCATTAGGGTGTAAGTGGAGCATGCTGTGTGTACATGTTTATGTGCGTATGTGTTTCACCTACGCAGACACGCACGTTTACACAAACCATGTGTGCATTAACGTGTCGTACGCACACACGATTTCTGTGTGTTTGACTGTGTACACGAGTGCGTCTGTGTGTGCTCTCAGAGGGCTGGGTGGTCACAGCTGAGAGCAGGAAGGGGCAACACAGCCACTGCCCACCTCTCAGGGCGACAGGCTGCCGGTGGGGGGATGGGATGAGCCCCTACCCCAGGCTCCACTGTGGCAGCTGCTGTGGGCCAGGAGGCAGAGGGTGCTGGATGGAGCTGGCACAGGCAGACATGTGTGACAGACACAGGCCACCCAAGGGACAGTCCTCCCAGGGTGCCAGGCAGCAACCCCTCCAGGCTGTGGATCCGAAGGCCTTGGCCTGACATCGCAGAAGTGACCACGTCAGTCGGAGGACCAGAAGCCCCCACGCCCAGGCAGGGCAGCTGCCCAGGGGGGTGCATTGAGGGGGCCTCTCCAGCGCCCCTCTGGGTGACAGCACCCACCGTCCTCCTCCTCCCTGCTGCCCTCATGCCTGCCAGTTGGCAAGTGTCGGCCCTGCGGTGTCCTCGCCGGGGTGTCCCCTACCCTGCCCAGGTTGGGTCTCACCTAGAGTGGTACCGGAAACACTCATCTCCAACTGCATCATGTCCAGACTTCCTCTCTCTCAGGTGCCAGATTCTTCCACCCCCACACGTGCCTTCGAGGGGCAGCGGGACCCCAGAGGAGCCCCGTGACCTGCCGTCTGCAGTCCTGGCATCAGAACGGGGGGTGGGCGGTTAGGGACAAGCCTGGAGAGCCGTCCCCAGCTGGGCTCAGCAGTGCCCTCAGGTCAGGGCCACAGGGTCAGCAGTCCCCTCCACCACGGGGTCAGCAGTCCCCTCTCCCACCCTGCCCAGGCCACCCTCTCCGACAGATTCTTGTGCAGTGGGGGCCCCAGTCTTTCTCAAGCTCCCCGAGAGTGGGGGTCACATTTTGGGTCTCTGAGTGTTCCCAACTCAAGGGTCTTATGGAGCGGAGTGGGGCAGCTGGCCCGGGGTCCCCTGCACCCCCAAGCCCTGTAAAGAAGCACTGCGAGTCCCCAGGAGGGCAGTGGGGGCCGTGCGGGGGGCTCGGGCCCGCTGTCTTGGGGCAGGTGGCAAGGGGCAGTGTGGGATGAGACGCAAGGCCCTGGTCCCTGCATGTCCCGTCCTGGGAGCTGGGGCAGCTCGGGCTGGGCCAGCAGGAAAGCAAGAGCCCCACAGCGAGCGACTCACAGAGAGGACTGGAGTCAGACGCCGTGGGCTCACGGGAGGGTGAAGGGGGACAGCAGGAGGCCCCGGGGACCACAGGAGAGGCCTGGGGCCGTTAGAACTGGGGGCCCAGACCCCTGAGAGTGGGGGGGCTGGCCCCACAGGTGCCGTGTCCCTGATGGGGGCCGATGAGGCTGGCTCTGGGAGGGGCTCCTCCTCCCCTCAGGGACGGCGGGCAGGACAGGGACGGCCGGGCTGAGAAATGGGGACAGCCACAGAGCATGCGGCAGCCAGGCTCCCCTGCAGCGGCCAGTCAGGGGTCTTCCATCCGGGGTCTGCTCCCACCTCCACAAGAAACAGCACCACTTGCTGTACCCCAGGAGCGTGAGGGGTCCCCTCGTCACTGGGACACATTCGAGTCGTTCGTTCCGTAAATGTTCCAGTTATTAAAACTTACCTGCGTGCTTGTGGCCAAAAGGTGCAGCAGGGGGTGTGCAGAAACCTTCCAGCATGAACACGTCAGAGCGGAACCCAAGTCTGGGTGAGGCTGGATGGCCGCCGGGAATCGAGTGAGCCGAGCCCTGCGGAGGGTCTGCAACTGGCACGGAGAACCGCTCAGGGTGTCCCGTGAGCGGCCGGCACTGGGCACCAAAACCACCCTGGCGTTCAGCATCTGGGTTTAGTCTCCAGGGTGGCTAACGGCTTCATTTCCACGTGTCTGTGTTTCCGCCACACCAGGCATGACATCTGATGCAATTATTTACATTTTATGCTTTTTTAAAATTTGGATGTCGGCTTCAAAATGTGCCAAGGGTTCAACGGCTCCTGGAGTTGTTTTAGGGACAGCGAGCGCCCAGGATCCGTGGGCCCAGGTCAGCCTGGCCACGCTGAGGGGGCCCCTCTGTGGGGAGATGGAGCTCGGGGAACAGACCAGGTCCTGGCAGTGACCGACTGTGACAAGGGCCAGAGACCGGCATGGAGGCTCGACGGGGCGCCCGGTCCGTGGGGTGCTCCTGTCCGGGACAACGGCCGAGACCAAGGTCAGTGGGCGGGTCAGGCCCCAGCCACAGCGTCCTGTCCTGCGGAGGAGAGTGGCAATGCACAGGGAGGGACCTGCGGGAAGGGTGAGGGGCAGAGCGTGAGTGACAGAGGGGAGGCAGGCACAGAGGCCGGGCCCGGGGCCACGCCAGTGAGGGTTCAGCACTATTTGGAGCTGAGCTTGGAGTTCGCTTCCAGTGAACACGGGGGCTGCGCACACATCTCGCTGTCCCCTCGGTTCTGGTGTGGACTGTCCGGTCTATGGGTCCCCGACCTCGGGAGCCAGGCCCTCACCCAACAACTGTAATCTGGCACCTAGTTCGTTGGAAGCCAAAGCCACCCCCTCCTCGGAATGCAGCAGGCCAGCGTGGGGACACTTGGAAAGACAGACAAACTTCCAGCAAAAGTCTCGTGCCGCTCTGCCAACAGGATGACCTCGACCACCAACTGTGCCCAGAGAGCAGGCGGGTGGGAGAAGCTGCAGGGCGCCCCACCCCAGTCCCCAAGTGGCAGTGGAGACAGGCCCTGCATTCAGGCTGCCTCGGCCAAGGTTGACTAGGCAGGTGCCGCAGCCCATCCGTCCTGTACTTACCCAAACTGGATGCACCTTCTCCTGGAAGAGGCGCTGTGCCATCATGCCCAGGGCACACGCAATGTCACTCCTCACTCAGTTACAACGTGACCTTTGTCTGGTCTCAGTCAATCCTCTCCCCGAACCAGGGGCCCTTGGCAGGCTGCACGGTGACTCGAGGACCAGACGACAGAGCCCCACGCCCTCCCCATGAGGTCCTTCAGCAGAGGGTGCTCAGCACTGCAGACCCAGGGCATGAGGACGGGGTGCAGCCGGAGCCCCAGAGTCCAGGGGCGGGTCCTGCCTGGGTCTCGGAAGGGGCATGCTGTCGACAGAGAGCTCAGGGACAAGGGCCCCAGGGACACATCTGCGAGGTGCCTTTTCTCCAGTTCAGTGCCCCTGCCCCAGTCCACACACCCTGGGTGCTGCTCCCAGCTTCCAAGTGCCCCAGGGTAGGGGGAGCCCGCCCCCAACTTCTGCTTCAGTTGAGATGGGAGCCCAGGGTCAGCACTGCACACAAGGTAGAGCTGCCCAGCCCCCACTGCCCATCTGCTTCTCTGGTGACATGGGAGCCCCCCACCCACATCCTTGGGTATCACATCCCAGGGCCCCGGGCCACAACTGCCTGATCCAGGGACAGAACCTTAAGAATTAGTGTCCCTGCCCGATGCCCGTGCCCTCACCCCACCCCCGGGACCTAGAAGAGCCCGCCACAGCCCTGCCTCGCTCAGGCAAGGAGCATTCATTCACGGAGCGCCTGCTGCAGGCCTGGCCAGGCTGGGCTATGGGGGCAGGGCTGGCCACCGGGGGAGCAAGGGAGACCTCGCCCACAGAGCTGCTCTCAGAGGGGCTAGGGCAGGGCATTCCCCAGTCGACCTAGGGTGATGAGATCACCACCCACCCTTCGGTGGAAAGATAGGTGGTGGGCACCTGCACTCTTTATCAAGCTGCGGGTGGGTTCTGGCTCCTTTGCCCAACCACAGGCCCTGCTTGCGGCAAGGCTCGCCGCGATGCTCAGCACCGCCTGGCCAGTGGACCCTGATGAGCAGTGAAGGCTGGACTTCGAGTTGGCAGGATGGCCAAAGGGGGCGGGGCTCTGGTCTTTGGGCTTCTGTCCCACACCCAGCGGCCGGCTGACCAGCTGCAGCTAAAGCTGTAACTGTTTGTCCCCACATGGCGTACGTGGGACCCTAGCTCGAGCAAGCGGGCTGGCTACCTTCCAGCCGCTCCACCAGGTCTCTGCCCACCTCGCCTCTCCCTGGGCTCCCGGGCACCTCGGTTGCCACTACCCCCGAAAACACTGTGGCAGCCCCACCCTGGGCCAGTGGGACGAGGCAGGCAGGGACCTGGCTGAGGGGCCACGCCCCGCACATCGCTGCGCTTGGGGTACCCCACGGGCCTCGGCCAACCCACGCGCCCGACTGAGTGCGGCCCCCGGCGGCGCCTCTGGGAACAGCACCCAGGCCACACGCCTAGCCCCGCCCCCATCGGCCGCCCCCTCCGCCGCGCATCCCCGCAGAATGCGGCCAAGGTCCCCAAGGGACTCTATTGCCAGCTAGAGTGGGCGCAGCCGGGCGAGCGTCAGGCCCCCCAGTGCGGCCCCAGGAGTCCCCGCTCCCTGCTCGGGCGACACTGCGGCAGACTCGCGGGCGGGGCGCACCGAGGGCGCAGGGCAGCAGGGGGCGGCGCAGGGCGCGTTGCTATGGCGCCGGGGCGCGCGTAGCCGGACCCGAGCGGAGCCAGCCTGGCAGACCCAAGCGCAGAGGCCACGGGAGGGCCGGGCTAGCCAGGCAGGGGCGCGTCCCGGGCGCGGAGCGCGGAGCCAGAGCGGGCCTAGGCCGGGTGCCCCTGGCGCGTTCGCAGGATGCAGGCCATGGACCCGGCCGCAGCGGATTTTTACGAGGAAGATGGCAAAGACCTGGACTTCTACGACTTCGAGCCGCTCCCCACTCTGCCCGAGGACGAGGTGAGTCCCCGGCCCCACGGCGGACCCCCCATCTTCCCCGGAGGAGGGTTCCGCCGAGAATCCCCGGGGAGGGTGCCTCCCAACCTGGCCCTGGGCCAGGTCTTGGCGGTAGGAGGACCCCCAGCTGGTCTCACCGCACCCCTACCCCTGCCGGCCTTAAACGTGTTCTCCTGGAGGGGGCAGGGCTCAGGAATGCCTCCTGGGACAGTCGTGGGGGCGCTGTCACTGAAGTGGAAGCTCTGCAAGGAGGGGGCTCCCCTCATCGGTGCTGGGCAGCAGCGTGTGGGGCGTAGCTGGGGGCATGAGCCGTTTCCTCTCTGCAGCGAGAGGTGCCAGCTGAGCCCCACTGGTCCGGCAGGACTGTGGGGAAGCTGGGGGAACAGGGGCTGCGTCCTGCTCAGGGCCGGGCCCTCACTCAGACCTGAGTGAGGCCCGCCCCCAGCCCCCCTCCCTGCAAGATGCACAGGGGTCTGTCACATTGGGTTTCTGGACATTAACCTAGTCAGATGCCTGCGGGTGTGGGGGACAAGCCAGCCCCCACTTGGTCTGGGTGGATCCCTGTAGCTCTGGCTTCTCTGTAGTCCCCCCAGGCTCTGGGTCAAAGGAATAAATTCCATGGCTGCGAGCAAACCAGGCCCCTGTGCATGAGAGGTGACCCCAGATGCTGCAGCCACTCCCTGGAAGGCTCTCTCATCCCCTGAGGCTGCCGGTCCTGGGCAGACACCCTCCAAGCCTCTGGCAGGCAGATGCCTGGGGCCCTTGGCTTCCCTGCTCACTGTTGAGGACCGGTGCCATGCAGCCATTTGAACACCTTCTCTCCACACAGCTGGTGCTGGTGGAGACCCTCCTGTCTGAGTGAGCCAGACTAGCCAGGGCCTCCTGGGTGGAGAAGGGGCTCCTGGCCATCGGGGCTGCAGTGCCCAGGACCTTTGGCTCCCTGACTGCCCCCAGCCTGCCCCTCTGGAGCTCAGGCCAGAGAAGCTCAGTCCTTCCTTCTGGGCAGCAGAGTCTGTCTCAGGGAACCCCTGCTGGCTGGAGGGACTGCTGAGCCTGTGCCCAGGGGCCGGAGCTGCCCCTCCTTTCCCCACGGTGACCTGGATTTGATGAGAGACGTTGCAGAGGAGAGAGGCAAGGGAATAAATAAACCTTTGCCTCTCTCCGAGGCTTTGATGGGGCCTGCACGGCCCCCCGAGGACGCATTCCAGGGCATCTGTGAGATGACTCGAGTCCCGAACCAGCACAGACGCAGGGCCGGCCGCCCACACTGACGGCCTCCTCTGTGCCCGGTGCGCTGAGCGGGACCGGGGCCAAGGACACAGGGCAGGAGCCAGGACCAGACCCAAAGCCGCCACCGGGCCACAGCCTGCCCTTCCCGCCTATCCTGGCTTCTTTCCCTGGGGTGTCTGTGACGCCCATCTGTGCACAGCGTATGGGGCCGGGGGGTCCCACTGTCCTGTGACCAAGGCCTCCAGGTGACGTGGGATGTGCCCATGGTCCCACTGCTGAGCACCCAGCAGGAAGATCCAAGGGGCCCTTTCGCCTTCTCCCCGCTCCGGAGAGACAGGCACTGCTCTCCTACGACAGGAGGCTGGTCCCCTGGGCCCAGGCCCTGGCGCAGGCGCGGCCTGTTCCTGAGAGCCCACCGGCTCCCTCTGCGCCCCGACACTCAGCTGGGTCAGTGTGACGGTTTTCAGTCTGCGTCAGGGACACGTGAGTGCCTGCTCCAGCCGCACGCAGTCAGGTGGCATCCAGAAAGCCGTCCTGCGCAAGGTAAGGGAGGAGCCAGGTGCGTGCCACCTGGGCAGGCTTTCTGATAGTGCCTCAGGAGCCAGGACAGCAGACACGGCAGCCCCAGGGAGGGACAGCAGGCACCAGACCCAGGATACATACAAGCTCAGGGGACACAGGCGCCTGCCACTTACAACGGACTGCACAGTGAGGTCAAGAAACAGCATCCCGTGGACGCCCAGCTGCCGCTGGTGGTCTGCGAGCGCGTGAAAAGATGTCAGACTTCACTGGAATGGGGTGTGGAGAGCACACCGCTGTGGATGCCTGTCCATGGCGCCAGGTTGGCAAGACCTTCCCTGCGGGTGGCCCAGAGGGGGGCGGTCTGCGGAAAGCAGCTGGGCCTTCCTTCCACGCAAAGTGGAGGTTCCAGGGCCTGCGTCCAGCACTGCCATGCTGGTGTGTGTCCTGTGGGTGCTGACACACGCGAGGACTCTGTTGGGAGCCCCCCGGACACACAGTGAGGGGCTGGCGCCACCCAGCACGGCCCTGGAGGCAGCAGCCGGGCTGACCCCTGCTCACCTGCAGGCAGCAAAGGAGGGGCGTCAGGGTCAGGCAGAGCCGCCAGTCAGGTGGGGCGGTGGCTGCGGGCGAGGCAGGCACCAGCCGTCGAAGGGCTGTGGGGTGGCAGGCTGGGGCAGGAAGGTGGCACACTGGTTTGGGCCGGGGGGACGGGACAGGGCATCTTCTGGCCCTCAGCCTCCCCTGAGGGGTAAGAGGCATTCTTACCCTTCCCCCGTTGAGCGAGACCCCCCTGCACTGTGGGCAGCTGAGCAGTGGGCTGGGCTTGGGGAGCCCATGGCAGCCGGGGACTCTGTTGCCCCCCAGAGGAGTGCACAGCTGGGAGCCCCGAGAGGAGGGGCATTTCCACTGGGCCCTGGAAGATTTGTGTGATGTCCGGAAATGAGCTCAGAGCAGCCGGCAGCTGGAGAATCGAGGGGGCGCTCCATGAGGGTGGGGGTGTCATAGTTACGAGTCGGGGGCTCTTCAGAGCAAGCAGGCAGATGTCCGGGGGTGTAGCACTCCCCAGGCCTGGGGGGTCTGGCAGCTAGAGGGGCCTCTTCGCAGGCCTGGGGGCTGTTGACAGGCCTCAGCGGTGACAGGGTTTTGTGTTGGCCTGTGCCCAGCCCCCTGGGTCCCACGGAGCCTGGCACCGAGGCCGTCGTTGCTGCAACCAGACCAGCCCTGGGTGGCAAGCCAGTCCCTGCCCAGGGTCCCAGGACTAGCCAGCAGGGGACAGCCCTGGGGAGCAGCCCCTGCACCTGCCTCCCACCGGGGTGGGCCAACTCTCTGCATGGCTGCAGGGTGGAGACCACCCTTTCCCACCCTGCAAGGAACAGGACTTGGGGGGTCCTGCCCTGGCGCCTATCCCACGGCCCACCCAGGCACTGCCTTGATGAGGGGTGGCAAGGAGTGGGGTGCGGGGCCCGTGGGGCCCAGGGATTCGGGAGCCCTGCTCTTGGGGAGCCAGTGGCACCCCGGGTTCTGTTTGCACTTGTGCGGCAGCTGAACCCCTCCTCCCTGTTATGGCTGCTGGGTCTCGGGCTCAGCCACACAGAAGCAGTGACTCAGGACCCCAGGACGTCACCCCATAAAGTCCTATAGAGAAGCCCCTGATTAGCTGCCCCCACTGTGAACAGCGGCTGCGGGGCAAGCAGGGCCTGGGCCTGAGCAGGAAGTGAACAGCGGGCCAGGAGTTGTCCCTGGGGGCACCAGCCGCCTGCGGCCCTCTCAGCCGTGCGCCGGTCGGCAGCTGTGTGAGCACTGGGCTGCTGGCTGCAGGGGGCTGACCCCGACTCGAGCCGTGGACCAGCTTCCTCCTCCCAAAGCACAAACCCACGTGGCCTTTGCATTGTGCATCAGTGTGTGCCACGTGTGCGTGTGTGCCACGTGTGGTACCGTGCACATGGGTGCGCACGTGTTGTCTGTGTGGTGTGCAGGACTGTTTCGTGTGTAGTCATATGTGAGTACTGTGTGTTCAGGTGTGCACACGTGTCATGCTGTGTGTATGTGTAGGGGGTACGGGTGTGTATGCATGCTTCCTCAGAGGGGTCCCTTCCTGGGACCCGACCAGGGGTCTCGGCTCTGGTGCCGCCGCTGCCTGCGGCCACTCTTGAAGCAGTTCCCACCAGCCGCCCCTCCCTCCTGCCCCCACCCCATGCGTGGAGCTGGAAGGGCAGCGTCGAGCCCAGAGCCCGGCCCTGGGCCCCACTCCCACCACCCCCTCAGCCAACCCGGAGGCTCAGCCAACGGGCGCACCAGTCTCTGTTCTCTCTGCCTTTCTGGGGTTAAGCCCCTGTCCCCTCTGTCCCTGGAGTGGGGTCCCAGCCATGCAGGGGGGGACACTCTCGGAGGGGGTGGGAGGACCTGACAGCTTGTCTGCTGGGAGAGTCGCCCTCGGAGCCCTGGGGGGCGGGGGAGCAGGGAGGCTGCAGGGGGCTCGGCCCCCCTCTGCACCGGCCCCCAGCCCACCTCCCTCTCCGTCCTCCTCAGAGGCCGAGTGCCCTGGCTCCCTCCCGCCACCCCCCCCCCCCGTGCAGTTCCTCCATCCCAGCTTCCAGCTGACGACTCCTTCGTCCACCCTCCCTTCTGGGGACCAGGCCCAGGGACACACGGACGAGTGGGGAGAGCTGAGGTCCCAGGTGCCTGGTGTGCATAAGACATTGTGTCGGCATGCACGTGGGCGCACCCGTGCTGCGGTGTGTGGGCACCTGTTGGTGTGCACCCGTGCACATGCCTGTCAGTGACACGGACGCAGCTGGGGTCTCACAGGGGCAGGGCCCTGATCTGGGGGGCAACCTGCACAGGGGAGGCCCGGGGTCTGGCTGTGTCCCCGTGTGAACTGCCCGGAGTGAACTCCAGCTGCTCTGCAGCCAGCAGGCCACACACATGTCACCGTGTGTCCCGTGAGTGTCCCATGGGACTACACGTGTGTCGGCCTGTCACCGGCTCCTTGGGCACAGCTGCATCTTCCTGGCACGGCTCCATCCCGTCTGGTGTCTCCCTCCTGGGCCTGAGGCCCCGGGGGAGGAGGGTGCCCCACGTGCCGGGCCATGCATGGTCAGCGATGTCACAGCAAGTGGTGGCCCCTCGAGGGGCCGCGGGGCCCAGGCCCAGGTCCAAGTGCAGGTGTGAACACCTGTGCCTGGCCGCACCTCCTCTCACTAAACACCTGGGGTTGCTGGCACCTGGACACAGTGGGGCCTTTGTGCTGTCGCTTCTCCACAAAGACCTCGCCAGAGCCCGGCCCTGACGTAGAACGGGGCAGAGCCGCGGCGCCGGCTTCCCTGGAACCAGCCTGGACGCGGGTGGCCGGGGCTTCCCTGGGGCGGAGCCCGTCCCCACGCCGCATCAGCGGGCCTGTGTTGGCAGGAGAACGTGACCCTGGCCGACATCCTCTCCCTGCGGGACAGCGGCCTCAGCGAGCAGGAGGCCTGGGCCGTGTGCCTGGAGTGCAGCCTCTCCATGCGCAGCGTCGCCTGTGCGTCCCTCTTCCAGACGCTCTGCATCACGCCCGACACCCTGGCCTTCAACACCAGCGGCAACGTGTGCTTCATGGAGCAGCTCAGCGGTGAGGCCGGGCGCGGCCCGCGGCCCCGGTGCCCCCAGCCCCGTCACTCCGCCCTGCAGCGAGTGGGTCCTGGGCACCCCCCACCCCAGGAGGGAGGGCCCTGATGCCTCCAGCCCCCTCCTCAGGGAAGACGGCACCCCGTCCTTGCATTCTGAACCCACCTTCCCACGCTTCCCGGGAGGACGGTGGTTTCTGGTCCCGCAGGGACCAGGACAGAGAAGGTGCAGGAGGCAGCACCGAGCCCTGGAGAGCTCGGGGCTGGGGTCCGTCCCCTCCCCTGGCACCACCGCCTCCTCCCCACAGGCGTCATGGACATCTGGCCTCAGTGTCTTCTCTTTCCCTCCCCAGATGACCCTGAGGGTGCCTTTGTGCCCCCGGAGTTTGACGTGACTGGGAACACCTTTGAGGTAAGTGGCAGCAGGCGAGTCGTGGTGGGCGGGTGGGTGGCCGGCCAGTGACGGGGGAGCCGGCAAGGGCTGCGGTGGGGGTGTCCCTGCGCGGCTGCCAGTGGGCACCCGCCCTGTCATTCCCACAGGCAGCTCGGACTCCCATGCTGGCGTGGCGTGTGGACGTCATGTGGCGTGTGGACACATGGTTGTCTTCACAGTCATGTGTGTGTGTTTTCTACATTCAACCCGTTAAAAGTGCCTGAAGTTAGCGCTGGAGGCTGGCGGGAACTGCCGTGTCTCCGAGGACCAGCAGGTGCGTGGTAGCCTGCAGATAACAGTCCACGAGTAACCAGCGGCCACCCAGCTCACTCTGAGGGTCACACACGGGCTGCAGACGCCAAGGCCTTCGGGAGGCCACTGCTCAGCTGAGGGGACCCTGGACCCTCACTTGAGTGACACCTCACTGTGGCTTGGCCTGCATCTCCCTGACAATGAGTGACGTTCAGCATCTGCTCAGGTGCCTGTCGGCCATCTGGGGTTTGGGAGGCAAGTCAATTCAATTCTTCTGCCCGTGGTTGGATCAGGGCTGCATCGCTGTTGAGTTGTAAGAGCTCCGCACAGCGTGTGGCTGGTGACCACCCGCCTGCAAGCGCCGTCGTCCACCCATAGGCCGTGTCTCCGTGGCCTCCTTTGCCTGCGCAGCCTGTTACTGGGACTCGGTCCCACTGGCTGGTTTCTCTTTCGCTGCTTGTTACTGGTTCCGACGCCACTGTGAACGCGGTTGTTTCTGTTACTTCTTTCTGGGGTGTTTCAGTGTTTGCCGATGCTGTTCTGAAGTTTACCTGAGTTCACTGACAAGTCCCAGCAGGTTGGGGTGGCAGGCCTCCGGGACTTTCTGCGCACGGAGGCGGCTTCGCTTCTTCCTTTCTCATGAGGACTCGCTCTTTCTCGCCTGGCTTGTCCGGCGGGGACTTCCCGTGGGGGGGACAGGGAGCGTGATGCCAGCTCCTGCTGGTCTCAGAGGACAGGCTGCCAGCCTTTCGCCGCAGGCTCATTGTCTGTGTTCTGTGTGACGTGGGCTTCCCTCCTTCTGGTGCCCGTTTGGGGAGACTTTTTATCACGAAAGGGTGTGGGACACTCTGACGCTTTTCTGCATCTACCGAGGTGACACGTGACTTTTGTGTTCTTCACGCGGCATGCCACGCTGGTGGCTTTGCAGGTGTGGCCCAGCCTCGCGTCCTGGAACAAGCCCCACTGGACCTCGTCGGAGCTTTCCAATGTCCGCCTGAATCTGGTTTGCTGACATTTTGTTGAGAATGTACGCACTTACAACCGCCGGGGACATCAGTCTTTTTTGGGTTGTGGCGGCCCAGCCTGGCTTTGGTAGTAAGGCAGTGCTGGCCGAGTAAAATGAGTGTGGAAGTGCTCCTGCCTCTTCAGGTCCCTGGAAGAATTTAAGGATTGGTATTAGGTCTTCTCTGAGTAATGGGCAGAATTCACCAGGGAAGCTGTCTGGCCCTGGGCTGCCCCATGCAGGACGCTTTTTGACCAGTGACTCGGGCCCCTGCCACGGGGTGGTCTGTCGGAATACCGATACCTGCGTGACGCGGTCTCGCTGGGTTGTGTGTTTCTAGGAACTGATGCTTCTTCTGGGTTGTCCGGTTTGGCTGTGTGCATTTGGTCCCAGTGTCTCCTACGACCCCTTGTATTTCTGCGGAATTAGTTGTAACATTTCTTCTTTTGTTTCTGACTTTATTTCTTTGCCCTCTGTTTTCCCAAGTTAGTCTAGATAAAGAGTCCACAGCCAGGACCCAGGCCTGTCTGCCTCCTACCTGCCGCCCAGGTGGGCAGCACCGGCACCGGGTCCCTCGTGTGTGGCGCTCTGTCCGCCGCGGATGCCACACTGTGGTCCAGGGCGCTGCTCCCTGGTGACGTCCAAGTTGACCGTCTCACGACGATGCCCTCAGTATTTACTTTGCTTTGTAAGATGTTGGCCTCCCCACATTCTACAGCGTTAGTGCAGCCAGGACCAAACTCTGGCTGTTTTTGGTTTGCTGTTTGGATGGGAAGGGGGGTAGTTTTATTTTTGTTTTTTAATCTGACAAACGTGAAAATAAACTATTGGGGGAAAATAAACAGATGAAGGCTGACTCATCCTCCCAACATACTCTGAAGTCCCCACGCAGCCAAGTGGGGACAGAGGGGGAGACGCGCACAGGCAGGGGGCGGGGCAGGGGCAGGGCCGAGAACGGGGCGGGGTTCCGGGCGCAGGGGGTGGGGGCCCTTTCCAGATGCCACAGTGTGCAGCGTGAACACGGATTTCCAGTGGATTCAAGCTTCAGATGCTCACAAACTTGAAAACACTAGAAGCAGAAGAAAGCTGTTTTTATCATCGTGGGGTGGGGTAGGGCCTTCTAAGAAGATACTGAAGAAAGTTATCTGATTTCCCAAATTAAACATTGACATTTCTGAATGTCGAAAGACACACGGACAAAGTTAAAAGACAGGACGCAGGCGGAGAGACCAGGGGCCAGCCCCCGCTGCGCCCAGAGCCCGTGAACCAGCAAAGTCCAAGCACAGACATAAAGGGGTCAAGACGGGAACAAGGAGCAGGCGCCCAGTCCCGCTCGCGGTGACACGCACGAAAGCAGCTGGAGGTCTGCTCACTGGTCGGGCCGGAGGAGCGTGTCTGCCTCGTCCAGGTCATTGTGGATGGACCCAGACCTGATGACCTGCTGCTGGGATGGGGCCCCCGGCAATGTGACATGATGCGCAAGGACTCCATCGAGGGCCCACAGGCACACCAGTCACAGCCGAAAATGTGGGGATGCCCTGGGCCGGGAACGCCGGCGCACTGGGTTTGGACCCCATGGGCCCTGCTGCTGAGACCGAGCGACAGGTCCGGAGAAGGGGGTCTTGGCAGGTGACCAGCACAAACCAGACAGTCCTGCAGAGAGCTGGTCATCCTAGACCAGACAGCAGATGGAGAGGTGGGCCTGGGTGGTCCTCTGACAAGGCCCCCCGGGAGAACGCCGGCCGCTGGGACCTCGCCACGCAGTCACACTGGGCCTGGCCCTGGAGGGTGGGCAACCGTGGGCCAGAGTGGGCGCCGAGGGTCGGGAGTGGTGAACTGAGCCAGGGAAGGGAGCACTGGACAGGGCCACGGGGAGCCCAGCCCTCGGTCAGGGCGCAGGCCTCCGCTGTGTGTGCTGTGACCGGCCCTTCCACAGCCACGCGGCCCAGGGCCCTCGCCCGAGCCTCCCAGCCCGGCCCTGCGGCCTCAGGCAGGTCTCTGAACTTCTCTGGGCTCAGCTTCCTGTTGATGAAGTGGAAAGACAGGGGCGCCGCCCCTCCCCCACATGGCCTGTTCCAGCATGCTCAGCCGTCAGAGTCCGCACTAGCATGTACCCCGATTTTCAAACTAAGAGACCCCGTCTTCCCTCCGGCTCGCTCATACCTGGTTTTAAAGACTAGAGCACAGAAGGAAATGTGAAGTCTCTACCTTTGGAGACAGAACCATCAGGGCAGGGCGCCCAGGGGCCTGTGCCCAGGAGGGTGGGGGGCCGCTGGCTGTCACAGCGGACTGCTGGCTGTGGCTCAGTGCCACGACAGTCACTGTGGGGGGGCAGGCGGCCCTAAGGAGCCCACGTGGTCACCAAACACGTGCTTCCGGCCTGGGGGCAGCAGCTGTGGGGGGCAGGAGCACAGTGCCGTGGACTCCCGGGCTCTTCGTCGCCGCAGGCACACATCTACTCCCTGGGGGCCACGCTGAAGGCTGCCCTCGAGTACGTGGCGGAGCCGGAGCCAAGGCTGAGCCCCGACCTGGAGGCGCTGCTGGACCAGATGCAGGCGGAGGACCCCCGGGACCGGCCAGACCTCGAGGTAACTCACCGGCAGTCCCCTCGTCTCAGCCCAGGGGCTGAGCCCCGACGCCTTCCCGATGCCTTGGAGCCCCGCGCGCGCACTGGGCCCTCCTCTGCCCCGCCCCCCGTCACTCGGGCTCCGCCCTGGGATTTGGTGGCCCCGCATCTGGTTTAAATGATGAGTTGGTGTTTTTACAAGTTTCGTGAAGAAGTGGTCCGGCTGGTAACTCTCCCGGGCTCAACAGTCCCCTGATTCTCCATCGGCCCAGACGCGCTGCATGTCGGAGAGAGGGCGTGGGGCGGGCGGGCGGGCTCCCGAGTGACGCGCCCCTGTGCGCAGAGCGTCATCGCGCTGTGCGAGGAGAAGATGCAGCTCGCGTCGTCCTGCCGCCTGTGCCGCAGCCTCTCGGCCGTCGGGAGGAGGGTGCTCTCCATCGAGTCCTTCGGAGCCTTCCAAGGTGAGCACGCCGCATGCCTGCACACGTGTGCCTTGCACGCTCTCCCAGGTGTGCCTCACACACTCACGTGTCTGCACAGGAGTGTGCACAAACATTAACCTGGATCACACGTGTGTGCAAGCTGCACACGCCTATTTGTACTGCACCCTCATCCACAAGCACTGCACGCTCACCACACACACACACACACACGCACACACACGCGCGCGCGCGCTGAGCACACCATGCAGGAGACTGGCGCCCCGCAGACGCTGCCAGCAGAGGTGAGAACCAAGGTCGTGCTGAGAACCAGCGGAGCATGCGGCTGGTTGCCTGGCTCGGCCCCCAAGCATCTCCGCCCGGGGACAGGGTGAGACCGTTTCCGCCGTGTCAGGTGGCACATCACTTCCCCGCCGCACAGGCTGTCGCTGTGGTGTCTGGGTTTCCACGGCTCTTGTGGGACTCAGCTCAGATCGCGTTTTGAACAAACGCCAGCGTCTGCTTTGCCGGTGCCGGTGGGGGAGGGGCGCATGGGGTCTGCCCGGCACCAGCAGTTTGGATGCCGAAGCGCTGGCTAAGCTGTGCGGCTCTAGCAGAGCAGGGGAAAGGGTCCCCGCTGGGGGCCGTGTGTCTGGCAGTCCACGAGGAGACAGCGCGTGTGGAGGCTGCCGCCAGAGCGGGTGGGGGCGGCGGCATTTCATGCTTCCGGTGGGGAATCTCACTGGAATCCTCGAAATAAAACTCGATGTGCTTTTTGGACAAGATAATTAGACAAGGCTCAGCTGCCCCTGCAGGGAACTGGCCTGGCCCAGGGGACCAGGCTGCCTGTTAATTAGCCGGGATTATGTGATTAACGAGGCAGTGAGATGTCTCTGGGCCAGCGTGTGACTGGTGGGGGTGCAGGTCTTGCAGGAGCCTCTTCAGAGGTGGCCGTGGAGGGGGGCTGGCTCTCCCGGGCTGCACCCCTGGTCAGAGGCCATGACCAGTCCTGCTTCTGTGCAGATGTCAGCGAGAGCACCTGGAGGGGGAGACCTGCCCCGAGAAGCATGGGACCCAAGAGGCAGCCCAGGGACCACAGCACTGGCCCGGAGGCCCCCCTTGCCCCTCAGGGCCAGTCTCAGGCCCCAGAGTGCGACCCCAAGGCCCTGCCCTCCAAGCCTCCGCTGTCCCCCCCTGTGAAAAATGGAGAGAGCCACAGCCAGGAGGCGCTGGCCAGCCTCCTCCTGGACGCCCAGCGCCCCGCAGAGGGAGGCCGCCTGAGGGAGGTGCAGGAGGTGCCCCGGCTCCTGCCCGAGGGCCCAGAGGCCAGCGCCCTCCGCCTGCCACTGACCAGCCTGAAAAGCCAGCTGCCTACACCTGAGTTCTTCCCACCGGACCCCCAGAAAGCCTTTCCTGAGGGGAAAAATGACCTTTCCAGCCTCGAGGCCCAGCCCAAGCCCAGGCTGTGGCCGGAGCAGGAGCCAGAACACCAGGGGGAGGGGGCTCGAGGTGTGGGTCACGGCGGAGGAGGGGTGGCCGGCGTGTCTGGCCAGGGCCCCGTGGAAGAAGGCCACCGCCTCAGCGCTGAGGACGCCGAAGATGCAGGCCGGGCCCCGGGGGTGCTGGGGGCTGATGAGCAGACTGCAGAGGGAGCCGGGGAGCCGGGAGGTGCAGCCACGGAGCAGGTGGGTGACAGTGTGTCCCCTGTGGCCTGTGGCTGGGGAGGGTACCCCAGGCTTGGTGCTGCCCTCTGGTCAACAGTGAGGGACAGGAGACTCTTAGAAGCTCATTCTGGGAGTTGGGGGTGTGCTCAGAGTCCCTGCAGGCACTCGGAGTGGCCCTTTGTGGCCGAGGACACTGGGCAGAGCCTGGCCAAACATGCTCTCCTGCTTGGCTCCTGACAAGTCGCTCCCTGAAGCTGTGTCCCCATGAGCTCCTGGGACAGAGCCTCCTGGGAGCCAGAGGCCCAAACCCAGTGGCCCAGGGGCAGCACCAGGCCCGGCTCCATGGGTGGCATAGGAACCCTCACTCCCGTGGCTCGGCTGACCCAAGGGCCGGCAGGCGGAGCCCGGGGGCTACATGTTCATTCACATCCTGCCACGCACCTGAGGGTGATGTATGTGGAAGGTGCGGTCACTAGAATGAAGTCCACCCTGGCGGCCCCATGCTGAGTGTGCCTCCTGCCCCGCCGAGCCCTGCGTCCTCTGACACGTTTTCCTCGGCCGTCAGCTGTCCGCGGACACTGCGGCCCCACCCCCCACCTGTGGCGGATGCCACCGCCCAGAGGAGGGTTGCGGTTGCTCTGTCTCTAACGCACCCGCCCGGGCGCAGGGCCCCGGCTCCACATCCTCCCAGCACCTGCTGGTTTGATTCGGGGGTGTTGGTTCCCAGCAGGTTTGTCGGGGCGGGGGTTGCGTGGGAGGCACCCCCTACAGGTCTGAAGTGGTTCTTGCCTGTCCCTCCCCCAGGGCGTCCCCCTGCAGGACCTGCTGACCCAGCTGGGCCGGCCCTTCAAGGACTACGAGCTGTGGGCCCTGGCCCACGCCTGCCTCAGCGCTCTGCGCACCCACCGCCAGCACCCAGGTGACGCTCACTGCGTGGCTTCTCATCCCACCCTGTGGGCCGTGTGGATGCAGTGTCCGCACCGTGGCCGGGGGTCCCTGCAGGTCATTTGCTCTGGACTCAGGACAGAGCGGGTGGGGACAGCAGGAGCCACATGCCCAAACCGTGGGCCTTGAAGCTGGCGGCCTGGCTGGCCCACATCCTCTGAACAGGGAGACGCTGTCCCAAGCAGGGGACGTGGCCCCTAGATGTCACACTGCTTGGTGACCCCTAAGCTCGGCCCTGCGGAACACTCTGCTGGGTCGGACCGTCGTGGGAGGGGTGACAGGACACACACTGCCCTCCAGCCGCTCTCCAGTCCCCTGCTCTCCAGTCAGGCCGGGCCCCAGCCTCCCACCGGACCCCTCCCAGGGGTGCAGCCCGTGGGCCGTGCCCCCCATCACCCTCCTCTTCCCTCGGATGCATTTCATTTCCTGCTTCTTGTGCCCCAGTAGCCAGCTCTGGGTGCGGGGGGTGTGGGGGTGCACGGGGAGGAAGGGCGTGGCTGAGGGTCCCTGGGTCCCCTCCCCCTGGCCGTCTGCCTGGTGCCTCTGGGGAGCGGAGGAGGCTGAGCCAGCACCCCCTTTGCTGCACCCAGCCAGCGACCCAGTGTCCTTGCATCCCCTGGGATGACCCAGGGGCCCTCGGGGTGGCACGCCCCCCCCACCTGTGTCCCTGCAGGCCTCCGGGGAGCAGGTCCCCGCAGCGAGCCTGCCACCCTGACCTTGCCTTCCGCCGCAGCCTGCCTGTGTCCGGACTCCGTGCTGGTGGCTGAGGACGGGGCCGTGCTGCTCGGGCCGGCCCCTGCGGATGGTGGGTCTGCGGGCGTGGGCTGGCCCTGGGCTGTGTCCCCACATCAGCCACCAAGTGCAAAGGGGAGCTCAGCGGTTTGGGGTCCTCTCTCTCTTGTAGGTGCTTCCAACTCCTTCTTTTTGGCCCCCGAGGTTGCAGAGCAGAAGCTGGTGACTGAAAAGGTGCCTGACACCCCCTCCCTTCTGGTGGCTTCCTCCTTACCCCTCCCACCGCACCCCTCCCCGCCTCGGTGACGTCACCCACTCTGTCCGGAGAGCCCGAGGGGAGGAAGGGACAGCCTCGAGCTCAGCGGGGTCCTGGGGGTCCCGGTGCAGCCTGTGCGTCCCCAGCTCGGCCTGGGTGGCCGCCCCCAGCAGGTGCCTCCCTGGCCCGGCCTGGCCGTCTCACCCCCAGAGGGGACCCTGCGGGCACAGCTTCAGGCAGTGAGCGCCGGCCTGTCAGAACCTACCACTGAACTCACAGGAATAGCTGCACTTGGGTTTTTTTCTGGTTTTGTTTTTAAGATTTAACTTACTTTCAGAGAGTGGGAAAGGGTGGGAAAAAGGAAGGGAGAGAAGCATCAATGTATGGTTTCCTCTCACACACCTCCTACTGGGGGCCTGGCCCACAACCCAGGCCCGTGCCCGGACTGGGAATCGAACTGGCGACCCTTTATTTCGCAGGCTGCCGCTCAGGCCACTAAGCCACACCAGCCAGGGCTGCACTTATTAAATGGTCCAACTTACAACCAAATGAACTATATTCAAAACCAAGGTGGAATTTCCACTTCCAGGACGGTGGAGGGGACACCATTCCTCTGGTTCCCCCTCCGCCGTACACCTAGGTCCCCCACTGGTCCCTAAAACAAGAAGGAGAAAGGATGGGCGGCGGGTGGAGGGCAGCACCTGCTGGGGAGGGCGCAGCAGGGAGTGTCCTGGGCTCTCTTCACCTCTCCATGGAGATGCAAAACCTCAGTGGAATCACCAACAGGAGCCCAGCTCCCAGCTGGAGGAAAGGGCGGGCCAGAGGGGCCCAGCCCACTGGCCCAGGGCCCCGCCCTCAGTACCGAGGCCACCTCCACCCCAAGGCGTGACTGCGGCAGCTGGGAGCTGGTACTCCCCAGTGCACACCACCGGGCAACAAAGAGGAGCCGCCGCCTTGGGAGTCGGTGGGGAGCCTGGGTCTCTGCCCCCACTGGGCAGTCACAAGGTGGCCCCCTCTTCCTGCCGGAGTGGTGTTGGGGTGAAACGGCTAAACCCATCAAATAAGATCCAGCTATAACCTGAAAACGTCCGGGTTTCTACCAAGAATCTGCCGCCAAACCGAGAGCCAGGAGGGTCTCACATTGAATGGAATCGGCACTTGGTGGATGCCGACCTTGACCCTGGTTCACAGCGAACACAGGGCTGAGAGACATGGTGGCACTGGACGCGCAGGTGAGAAAGGTGTGAAGTCCCCGCCGCGTTACCCGAGCTCCCACTTCAAAACCGAGACGAAGAGCAAAACGACCGGAGCAGAGGCAGGAGACAAAGGAGAGCAGAAGCCGGGGTGTGGACCAGGCGGAGAGGACGCCGGTGCAAGGGTTGAAGCGCCGCTTCTTGGGAAGAAGCAGGGAAGGAAACAGACTTCCAGCAAAGCTGGCAGAGCTGAGAGGCCCCGGCGGCCAGAGCACAGCGCACGCAGGACCTGTGTCACTCCAAGAGAAGGACCGATTCTTCGAAAAACAAACCACTGCAACTCAGCCACCGTGAAACGGCCCTGTACCTACTAAAAAAATTGAACTTTTTATTGTAAAACTCTCGGAAAACAGTCCCTCGGCCCAGACAGTTTGACCGGTGAGTCCTTCCCACACTGCACACTCCCTTCCTGAGAACGAAAGGACACAGCCTGCTCCGTTGTCTGAGGCTGATGTCACCCCGGCACCAAACCAGACGAGGACGGGACAAAAGCCTTCACACGGGCTGCCTGCCCTCTGAACCCGGAGGCGGCCGTCCTTCGCGAAGCCCACACAGCGGAACTCAGCCTCGAGCAGCACCAGTCACACGCGGTCCCGAGGCAGAGCTGCGGCGGTGCGAGGCCGGGCTGCCAGGGGGACCTGGCCTGTGTTGGCTCACTGCTGCTCACTGAGAGGAGAACCCACGGCCACGTTAATGGATGCAGACGAAGCACTTGGCAAAACTCAGCCCCCATTCCTGATTTTCAAAAACACAGAAAAGTAGAAATAGAAACTTCCACAATAAAAGAGCATCTAAAAAATACTCAACAGCTGCCCTCCTGCTTCATGCTCAGTGAGGGACTGAGTGCCTGTCCCCTGAGCCTGGGAACAGGCCACCGCTCGCCTGGTGCCACTCAGGGCTCCCCCGGGAAGGGCAGGAGGAGGGCACCAGGGCCAGGGAGGAAGAAATGATGCCGTTGGCAGAGGACGGTTTTCTGTGTAGAAAACTCCAAGGTATCAAAGCATCTGCCAAGAGACTCTTAGAACTTAGGAGTGAGTTCTGAAAGGCCACAAGATACAAGCTAAACATTCAGAAGTGTGTTGTGTTTCCATACCTCAGCCATGAACATGTGAACACCAAAACTTAACCTGTATCACATTTACTATCACCCCGAAGAATGAGACACGTAGATGTAAGCCCAGCAAAGCGGGTACGAGGCCTACGGTGAAAACCACAAAATGCTGGTGAAAGGGACCGAGGAAGGTCTGCAGGGCCAGGGGCTGGGCAGAGAGAACTCGGAAGCGACGCCAGATGCACAGTGCGTAAATCCACCCACAAAAAGAAAAGCAGGTAATTCGACCTTCATCAGAGTTTGAGACTGACCAATGGGCCGGCTCAGCGAATGGCAGCCTGTTCACAAGTCACCTCGATTGCCCAATGAAGAACAATTGTATGTTTACGTCAATAGATGCCCACAATCCAACAAAACCCATTACCTGTTTGTGATCAAAACTCTCAGCAAACTAGGAAGCAGGGAGAACACCCGCAACTTGGCAAAGAACATCCACGAAAACCTCCAGGAATCGCTGTGTGGTGAGAAGCTACGTGTTTCCCCCGAAGGTCGGGGACGGCCGGGGCTTCCTCCCACAGCTCGCCAGCATTGTGCTGGGAGTCCCGCCTCAGGGAGAGAGTCAGGAGAAGCGCGTGAGGTCGTGCAGGATGAGGTGGTGGAAATAAACGGTCTTTGTCTGCAGGTGACATGGTTGCCTCTAGAAAATCCCAGAGAACCAACAACGAGCCCAGAACTAGTGCACAGTCACAGTAAAGTCACTGGGCACGTGGTGAGCATGCAAAAGTCAGCCACCTTCCCACACCGGCAGCGAGCAGTGGAATTTGAAGTTAAAACACAGTCCCATTGGCATTAATACCCCAAAAATCACTACACGGAAACCTAACAAAATACCTACAAGGTCTGTATGAGAAAAACTGCAAAATTCTGATTAAACAAACAAAGATCTGATGAAATGGAGACGTGTCCCCTGCTCACGGGCAGGAAGACTCAACACGGTTACGAGGCCAGTCCCTCCCGACCGGATGGATCTGCAGGCTCAGTGCAATCTAACCGAACCCTCTGCGACAGGCTGACTCTGAGGTTGTGGGGAGAATAGACGACAGACCCAGAACGGCCAACTCGGGGTCAAGAGAGAAGAGCAGGGTCGGAGGACTGAGGCCACCCGGCTCCAAGACTCGCTGTGAAGCCACGGTGACCAGGATGGCGTGGTCTCGGCAGCAGAGCGGACGGATGGGTTGATGGAGCAAACTGGAGTCCGGACATCAGTCCCCATGATCACGGTCCACTGTGGTCTTCGACAAAGGAGCAGCGGCAACACGGTGGACAGAACCAGTGTCTGAGACAGATGACGCTGGGACTGCTGGACGTCCACGCACAGAAGTAACAACAGTCTTTGCACAGACCTGATACTTCCACAAAAGCTAGCTCAAAATTGACTGCAGTCCTACATGGAAACTGCAAAACTACAGCACTCCTACAGGATAACGTAGGAGGGAGTCCAGGCAGTGAGCATGTTGCGGCGGCGCCAGAAGCTTGGTCCCCGAGAGGAGAAATGACATCGATCTTGTAAGCACTGCTGCTTGGCAGGGCAGGCTGTCAGGACGCCGAGGGGAGAACGTGTTTGCAAACACCCCTCTGACAAAATGCTCATGTCCCAGACCAGCAGAGAACCCTTAAAAGTCAACAATTAGGAAACAAACAACCCAGTTAGGAGGCAGCAAAAGCTCTGAACAGATGCCTCACCCAAAAAGAAGCACGTGGCAAACAAGCCGGTGGAGACGGCCACTTCGAGTGGCCTCCAGGAAGCCCCCACAGAGAGGTGTCATGGCCCTGCTGTCAGAACCACTAAAATCCAGGCCCTCAAGGCGCCAGACGCTGGATGCCGGTGAGGACCCGGAGCAGCCGGACCCTCTCGCTCTGCACCACTGGGAACGTTGAGGACAGTGGGTGGTCTCTCATGAAACCAAGCAGGCCACGACCACCCAAGCCAGAAGCTCGATCCCCGACCTTCACGTCCAAGAAGCACTCACACATCTCTGCAGCTTCGTCTGTGACAGCCCAGCCTGGAAACTGCCCTGTGGGCAAGCGGTCGGCTGCGGCAGGTGGTCACTCAGTGGCCGGAGGAATGGAGGGGATGTGACGGAGCCCAGAGGCCAGTCCCCGGAGGTGGAATGTTGTACAATATGACACATGGTGTCCTATATGAAGTGACAGAATCCCGCAAATGGCCACCGAGCAGTAGCTTCCAGGGACGCGGAGGTGGGGACAGAGGCGGGAGAAACGTCCCATCTCTGCGCCACATTAGAAACAGCGCCCTGGTTGCATTAACATCAGTGTATGGTTGCCTCTAATGTGTCCTCTGCTGGGAGCTGGCCTGCAACCCAGGCATGTGCCCTGACTGGGAATTGAACCGCGATCCTCTGGTTCGCAGGCCCGTGCTCAATCCACTGAGCTACACCAGCCAGGGCCCTGGTTGCAATTTTGTGTGACATTTCTAAGACGGTACCGTGGTGGCAGGTGGGGAGCGATTGGCGGTCCCTGCCATTTCCTACAGCCGTGTGTGTGTGGCCACAGTGGTCTCTGCACGAGACTCGGCTCCCAGAGGTTAATAAATAAATAAACACTCAGCGAGAGGCGTTTCCTGGTTCCCTGTGCGGAGGTGGCAGCCCCGAATCCGGGCACCGGGGCCGCTTGGGGCCGCTCACGTCAGGGCCTGACCGGCGGACTGTCTTGTCCACGCCTGGGCGAACGAAGTGACCAAGGACGTTAATGCACTTAAGCCTGCAAGGCAGCCCAGGTCCCTTGGCCTGAAGCCTGGCGAGTGGTCAGGTTCACCAGCTGCTCCGGTTCAGAGCTGCTGCTCAGGCGTCTGCCTCACGGCCACCTTCCTCGTGGGGACAGACGGAAATACCGACCCCACGTGTCAGAACCCCCTGCTCATCATCCGTGGGGTGTGCACACAGAGCTGGGTGGAAATCCGCCAAAAATCAGGGAGAATCGATCGCTCTGTGGAACTTAAAAAAAAAGAGAACAATGCCTTTCATTGACTTTAAACCACGCTCCACACCCTGTTTGCCCGTGTCGGGCGGCGGTGGTTAATCAGATTACGTGGGTTTCAGGTGTACACACCTGTGCTACACCAGCTGGTACCGCAGTCTGCACCCCCACCCTCCCTCCCTCTGGTCACCACACTGTTGTCTGTGTCTGTGAGTTTCCGTTTTGTGCCCCACCGATGAGTGGGATCACACGGCTCTTGGCTTTTTCTGCGGACTTACTTCCCTCAGCACGAAATCCTCAGGGTCCGTGCCCGCGGTGGGTCCATCCACGCGGTGGCAAAGGGCAGCATTTGCCCTTCCTTGCGCCTGAGGGGCGTCCCATCGTGTGCCCGCCCCACACCACCTGACCACTCCTCCGTTGAGGCCCCCCCGGCCCCTCCTCGTCTGGGCCACCGTGGACGATGCTGCACTGAACTTCGATGTGCCCGTCTTGTGAACACACTGCACGCCGCACGTGCTTCGTGTCAGTACATCCAGAACAAACTCACGTGTGCCCGAGTTTTCGTTCGAGAGCCTGCTGTTGGCCGCTCAGCACAGCCTGGTTCAGGGGACGCGTGGCCTCAGAGTGTTTAGGGCCCGTGGGCACCCGTCGAACAGGCACCTGGGGGCCGGGGGGCTCCAGGCTGAGGAGGTGTCTGTGCGGTCCCAGTGGGGGTGGCTCTGTTGGGACCAGGACCCGTCTGCTGAGCATGGCTGGCTTCTTCCCTCCCCAGGCCTTGGTGTACTGTGTGGCCGCAGTGCTGTGGACAGCGGCCAAGTTCGGCGTCCCCCGAGACCACAAGCTGGCCCTGCCACGCAGGCTCAAGACCCTTCTGCTGGAAATGGCCAGATGTAGTGCCCAGGAGCGGCCATCGGTGGCTGAGGCCAGCAAGGTAGTGGCCTGCGGCCGGGCCCAGTGGCCTGGGCAGTGCCCACAGGGAAGGGGAGCTGCGCGTGACTTCCAGGAAAGGCCAGCACCAGGCGGGAGGGCGTGGCTTTCATCTGTGGCGGCCGCCACCCCAGCATTTCCCCCAAAGCAGCAGGCCAGCCCAGACCCTGCCCTCAGGCCCTGCCAGGGGGAGCAGAGTCCCCCACCCTCCTCTGGGTCATCCCGTCCCCTCGCTCTGTGCAGGCCAGGGTGAGGGACCCTGCTTCCAAGTGATAAGTGCAGGGGGAGCCCCGAGATTGTTTCCCTGACCTGGGGCCACGGGACCTTCGGAGGGAGAGGCCGTGTGCAGACGAGGAGAGATGGCTTTGGGGCCGCAGCCTGGGCGTGAGGGCCAGTCTGCCCCCCACCCCGGAAACGAGTGTTGGAGTTTGTGGGGCAGCGGCTTCACTGAGAGGGGACACATTTCTTCCCACAGAGTCTCAGAACGAGGGACAAACACCTGCTTAGTACCCGGGGGCCTGTCTGCCTTTATCTGTCTGCAAGGGCCTCTGCCGTGTCCTGAGCGCAGGGACGCAGGCTCGCCTGGGTCGGCTCCCTTCCCAGTGGGTGTCAGGGAATCGCTCTGCTCTGGGCCAAGGTTTCGGGGGCGCTTCTGAGTGTGCGCAGGCTGGTAGCTTCTGCCAGCGTTGGCCATGGTTCTGAGACCACCCACTGAGACGAGACAGCCTCCCAGTTTCTAGAGGGATGGCCAGGAAGGTCACGGGTCCTCGGGCCTCTGTCATCACTGGGCACAGGGCACACGGCAGCTGCCCCTGCATGCAAGTGGCTGTCAGCAGGGCAGGATGGGGAGGCCATGGCCACTTCTGTCCCATCATCATCCCTGCTGAGGACATGCCAGGAGGAGAACACTCGGTGTGCAGCGCCCACGCTCATCATGGGCTGCCGGCCTGGATGCCCCTGATCCTCCGGGAAAGGAGCCCCAGGGCCCCGTGGCACGCACCGACACGCTCCCGTCCAGTCCAGTGTGATGTGGGTCCCGTGGCCTAACCCTGACCCTAACCCTTGCTTTCAGATCTGTGGCAGCTACCTCCTCCAGCGAGGCATGGACAGCAGGGAGATTTTAGCCCACCTGAGAGCGTCTACCTGTAAAGTACGGGGCCACTTCCAAGGCTCAGATGCAGCCCGGGGGCCCTGGGCGGTGAAGGTCTCCTCTCTCCGCTGTTGATTGTAGGGAGGGGGACTCTGACGTGACATCCTTCTCGGCCTTCCCACCATCTCCAGCAGCCACCCCACACCCTGGTCCTGCTGACCCGGGCAGGGCAGGGCAGGGGCACACCCAGTGTCCTGCCCACAGACCCTCAGGCAGCCGCACCCTTTACACACATTCCTGTCAGCTTCCCCGGGGTGGCCATGTCCAGGTCCCTCGGGCAGCAGATGGACACGCTGCACCCCCGGGGCCCTGGGTGGCACCCAGCCCCGTGCCCCAGAGACCCACCAAACCCTGCTGGGTCAGGACGCAAGTGCCGCCAAGGCTCCCGCCCCAGAGAGAAGCAGGCTCTGCAACTCGGCTGCAGCTGGAGTGTAGCACTGAGTGCCCTGGGCCTGTGGCGTCACGGCCACTGGGCCCTGTCCTTCTGCCCCAGGTCCACCAGGAGGAAGAGACCATCAGTCTTCAGAATGCATTCTCAGCACTCGAGCTGACCCCCGGTGCGGAGCCCAGTCCCAGGCCCAGCTCAGGTGGGTCCCCTCGGCGCCCCCCCAGCCCGCACTGCCCCATGACCCTGCTGCCCACCAGAGTGAGGCGCCACACCTATACCCTGCCAGGACCCCTGACCAGCCTGGTCCCCTCTCTGCCTCCGTCTCTTCCAAACGCTCTGTCCCCAGTTCTCTCCAATGTCACCAGCCACCATGCAGTGGCTGTGACCCACACCCTCATTGCCCAACCCCCAGTTCTGGTCCCACCCTGTGTCCCCTCCACAGAGCCCACTGTGTCCTGTCTCTGTGGCACCTGCCCCATCCTATTCATAGGGGTTTTCATCACTCCTGCCTCCTCCCAGCACCAGCTGCCTTGGGCCGGGCCTCCCTTCGTGAAGTCTTCTTTCCCGGGGGGGGGGGGGGGCTGGGAAATCCAGTGCTTTGGGGGACATGTGGACAGGATCACAGCACCCTCTTGTGGCTGGAGGAACCACCTCAGCCTGGCGTGGTGTGGAGCCTGCCACCCCCACCCACACTCCCCCCAAGTTTGTCCCAGGCTTCGTGAAGGTCGGCAGCAACACCAGGCTCGTGGCCATGCAGGGGCCGTGCCTGCCGGACCTTCCCGCTCCGTGGGGGCCTCACAGCTGCCCCCGGTTCTCACCTCCACAGACAGGCACTCCAAGCCCATACTCCTGGCGCCGGGAGCAGGTGGAGCCAGGTGAGTGGCAGGTGTGGCCGGGAGCTGGCTACGTCCGGGAGCCCCTCCTGAGCACCCTCTCTGCTCACAGGGCCGCACCTGCCGGGTCTCCGGGGACAACAGAGGAGCCGGAGGAGAGGAAAGGCAGGCTGGATAGGGACGTGGGTGGGAAGAAGGTTCCTGAGGGCCAGGCAGCGGCCAACAGCTCAGAGACTCCTGACCAGCTGGCGCCTGGACCCAAGTCAGGACACCCAGCGCCAGGACCCCCCAGAGAACTGGTGCCAAGTGGGGCGGCCCAGGGCAGCCCCTGCTCCCCAACTCCCACCTCATCAGTGTCACCCCAGTCTTCTGCCCCAGCCCCACCCCTGAAGGTACAGGAGCCAGTCCTCCCTGGAGATGTCCCAGGGCCCCCTGCAGCCCACCAGGGCCCACACCACCCGGCCAAGCCCCCCAGGAACAAGGCCCCCAAAAGCCCTGGCCAGGAGCCCCAGAGCTCCCCAGCAGTCCCCCTCAGTCCCTCCCTGGCCGAGGCGAGTCCAGACTGCCCCAGGGGTGACACAGTCAGTCACCCCGAGAAACCCCGGTCAGCAGACCACAAGCTGTGCCTGCCCGGGGTGGACGCCTCACCAGCCCCCCGGAGCCCAGCCTGCCCCTCGCTGCAGGAGGCCACACGCCTCATCCGAGAGGAGTTCGCCTTCGACGGCTACCTGGACCACGGGCTGGAGGCGCTGATCATGGGTGCGAGGGCCGCAGGGCACCGTGCGTGGGAGTGGGGCGGCGTGAGGGGCTCCGGTCGCCACAGAGGGGGTCCCACTCCCCTGCAGCAGGGGACAGCACCAGGGTCCCCAGTGGTCGTCTGGCAGCAAAGACAGAGCCCAGCCGCCCACCCGCTCCAGCCGGAGATCAGCCTTGCTCCTGAGGAAAGTGGGGGACCCCAACAACTCACCCACATTTTAATTCGCCCCTCTCCCTGCGCACCACCAGGGGAGTACATTTATGCCCTGAAAGACCTCACCTACGCCACCTTCTGCGGGGCCGTGGCTGAGAGGTTCTGCGACCTCTACTGGGGGGAGAAGCTGCTGCAGAGCCTCTTCCAGGTGGTGAACGGCAGGACGCCGCCCCCCACGAGGTGAGTGCCCCAGCTGGGTCCCCAAGGCAGACCCCCAAGTGCCTCAGCTCCACGCCCCCCACAGGGGCCGCCCACCAAGGGCCCCTGTCACAGCCTGAAGCCCACCTGCCCCCAGTTTTCCATTTCGGCACCTGCTCCTTTAGGAACAGCAGAGCTGTGAGACCACAGGGGCCAGGAGGGCATCTCCCTGCTCAGGGACCAGCTAGACCAGGCAGATGACTCCCAGAGGGCGGTCCCCGCAGGGAACTGTCTGCCCCTGCTCCACCCCCCCTTCACAGACTGCCCCGTGGTGTTCCAGGACACCAGGGCCCGGCCCACCACCCCCAGGGCTGCGGAGGGCGAGGTGGATAACCCACACAGCAGCCTGGAGCGGCCCTACACCCGACCTCCAGGCAGCCATGTGCTCCCCCTCAGCCCTGCCTGCCGGGTGGCCACAAAGCAGGCCACAGGACACGCAGAGCTCAGCTTCTGCTGAGCAGAAGCGGTCATCACGGCCCCGCCCCTCAGGGTCACAGGCACTCACAGTGAGGTGCACCCACCACCCTGTGAGCCCAGCTGAGGGCAGACCACACGCTGTCCTGGTCCTGGGACCAGCGTCCAGGGACCCAACGTGGACACACAAGGAGCCTGTGCTGCTCTGTGTGCCCTGGGAGGGGGACGCCCGCAGCGGAGCCCTGTTCAGTGGGCATCGGCCCCCAGTGCTCACCCAGGTCGTCACTGTGTGGGGGGCGGGGTCTTTGGTACGAGGGGGTTTCCCTCAGAAGTCAGAGCAGAGGGGAGCAGGGGGGCGTGGGGACGGCCCCGGAGCCTGCATGTCCTCCAATCTGATGGCAGCACTTCAGAGGAGGCGGGGCCACAGCCCGAGGCCTGCGCACCCGGCAGCTGCTCCCCTTCCAGCACGAGGCCCTTGCTGCTCGGACCAGGTAAGGCCTGGGGCCGGGGGTCCTGCCCCAGGCAGACTCCAGGCACCTCCATATGGCTCTCCTGTCCTCCTCCCTGGGCACCCACAAGTGAGGGGCCGTCCTCCATACCCAGCGGGGCCCTCACCCCCCCACCTGCTCTGACCTTCCCTCCACAGACAGACTTTATCGTGTCCATCTGTCTGCATACAGACCAAGGCTCCCTCAAACCTCCACAGTCACTTTTGCCCGCCCCTCCGTGACAGCTGGGTTTTGGGGAGGCCACTCCAGACCTCGAGGACCCCCTAGAGCAGATGCGGGTCTGCCTGGCTGTCCCAAAGGGCCTCGTATTCCCAGCAGGGCGCGTGCAGCCTCTCTGAACAGGTCACCGCGGGCTCTCCACGTGACTTGCAGCTGCTGCCCCCACAACTCTGTCCTCTGTCCTCTGTCCAGGGAAGGACATGCTGGTCACTCATGGGAGCAGAGCCCCATGCCCACCCCCCTCGCTGTCCGATGTGGACTCGGACGAGCTGTCCCGGGGCAACTTGGAGGTGGGGTTTCGGCCTCAGAAGCCAGTAAAAGCTGAGAGGGAGCAGCTGCCGGAGGCCACGGGGGACCAGCAGCAGGCAGGGGGCCCAGAGCCGGCCGGAGGGGCCTCGGACTTGGAGGCAGTGGCGCGGCCTGCCCGGCCCAAAAAGGGCCCGACCGCGAGCCTGGGCCCGGCCGCGTTCCAGAGCTGCAGCCCCGGCTGGAGCAGCGCCTTCTACGAGGCCGACTGCTTCGGGGCCGACGTCCACAACTACGTGCGGGAGCTCGCGGGGCGCAAGGCCGGCGGGGCCCCCGACACCTCGAGCCCGGTGAGTGCCGGGCCTCCATCCAGGGGGGGAGGCCTGTGTCCAAGCAGGGCTCCAGTCTCGCAGGGGACAGGGCCCCTCCCTGGGTCCCCTACTCCCGGTGCCCACTTCCCAGTGACCCCACGCCAGCCAGGGCACCCTCCCCGTGCTGGTTGGCACGTGCCCTCCACATTCTGGAGGAGGAAACGGCTTTTCTGTCCTTGTCAGTGGAGTGTGTGGCCCCCAGGTGACAGGTGGCAGGAAGCCGCCTCATCCTGGCGAGCTCGGTCACATTCGGGCTGTGGTTCTGGCTCTGGCAGATGCAGCCTCCGCAGCCCCATCGGCCCTCCAGGCTCCAGCCCCTGGGCAACATGCCTTCGAGAAACATCTGCTATGGCAGTCAGTTCAGCCCAGGCCCAAGTCCGCCTGGCCTGGCTCCCGTGTCCCCCAGGTGGCAGGCGGGAGGGGACCCGTCAGCAGCCACGCAAGTGCGTCTCACGGCCTCTGGCACCGTCTGAGCTTCCCCGGTGTTTCTCCCGCCCGCCTGCCACCGCTGTCTGGGCGTCACTTTACCACTCAGTCACAGCCACCCAGTGACCCCGCCCCTGCGCGGTCCCCGCACACGCTCTCATGGGGACGGGGCTCCAGGCTGCGTCCTTGGGAACCCAGACCACTGGGCCTGGCAGTGTGCACCGGAGAGGACCGGGATCTGCCGTGGGGCCCTGGGGGGGAAGGCGGCCTGGCCTTCGAGCCCGATGCCCAGGGCAGGGCCCAGAGCTCCTGAGGCCACAAGGAAGCCCAATGTCATTGCGCTGGAGCCTGGAGCCCAGCCCAGGGGAGGGTGGCTCCCAGCCCAGAGACAGTCCACTTCCCACCGCGCCCTGTCCTCACTCTGCATGTGCACAGCGGGGCCGGCTCAGAGCTGCTGAATGTCCCCGTCCAGTGGTGGCCTTTCCCAGGAGTGGAAAACAGCCGACTCTGAGCAGTAGCGGCCAGCACCGCCGGTGCCCTGCCGCCTCCCACCTCAGGGCAGCCGAGGCTCGAGAGGGTAAGGGGCAGGGCGGGCACCAGTGACAGGTGCCGCTCGAGACAACCCAGGGCGAGCAGGCCTGGTAATCGACACGGGTCAGATCCTCCCCCAGCAGGGCTGTCCTGACGCTGGAGGATCACGAGAGCTCATGGGCAGCAAGTGTTCGCCACCAAGGGGTGGCAACAGGAAGGAGGGGCCGAGCAGTTGCCTGACTCCACGGTCCCAGGTCCTGGCCCGGTGGACCCACAGCCCCGAAGCAGCAACACCCCAGCAGCCACCCAGGACCCAGATCCGGCCCCTCGGAGCGCCCTCCAGTCAAAGGGACCAGGCTCCCCGCGGAGCGGTGGTCCCGGGCCTACCACCAGGGGAAACACAAGATGAGCCGGCACAAGAAAAACTCAGTGATGCGCACGTGAGAGGTCACAGGGGCCACCAAGGAGCCCCGGGTGGTCACGGCCAGAACGTTTGGCCTGCAGAAGTGACACAGCATTGGAGCTGAACCCAGAGTACAAACCAGGTGTGCAGACGTCCACATGGATACGGACAGTTGAGGTGAAGCAGGACAGACACCCTGCTTCACATAAAGATGTTTTCACATAAAGATGAGCCCTGGCTGGTGTGGCTCCGTGGATTGAGCCCCAGCCAGTGAACCAAAGGGTCGTGGGTTCGATTCCCAGTCAAGGCACATGCCTGTGTTGCGGGCCAGGTCCCCAGTAGGGGGCACACAAGAGGCAACCACAAGTTGATGTTTTTCTTCCTCTTTCTTCCTCCTCCCCCTTTCTCTAAAAAAAAATTAATGTATACATAAAATCTTTTTACTTAAAGACAAAAACCCATCCTAGAACTTACACGAGTCTCAAGGAACCTGAGCGACCCCAGTAGCTGTGGGAAGCACAGGGCCGGCAGGCACTGCCTCCTGACGTCGGTGTTCACTGTGGAGCCGCCTGAACCGGGCCAATGTGGTGCTGGCCTGGGGCAGACACGGCCGAGGGACAGAACAGAGAGCCCAGAAACGAGTCGGCACAGCTGTGGTCGGACAGGGAGGCCGAGACCACCAGTGCGGGGGGACAGTGCCCCAACAGATACGGCCAGGGACAGCGGGCGCCCCCACACAGAAGAATGAAGCTGCCTGCCCACCGCCATGCTCAGAAACCAACCAAAACGTCGAGCCCCTGCGCTGCGGTAGGAAGGAGTCGGGTGCACACTTTAAACTTCCGGAAGAAAACGGGGGAAGCTCCCCACACCAGGCTGGCGCCGACTCTGCGTGAGACAGACACACAGAACCAAAATGAAGATGAGCACAGGAATCACCCACCCACCGGGCGCCCGTGAGCCTGACAGGCAGGCGGTGAATCTGATCCGTATCGGATGCAGAACACGCCGAACTCTGCAACCGAATAGCCTGCAGCCCCACACACACGCCCGAGGAAGGGGCTTCAGCAGATGTTCCTCCAAAGAGGATATTAACATGGCTGAAAAGCATGTGAAAATCAACGTTGTTCATCATCGAGGGACAGCATATTAAAACCACAAGATACCGCTTCATATCCCCTCTGATGGCTTTTATAAAAATTAAGATTTTTAGCCCTGGCTGGTGTAGCTCAGTGGATTGAGCGCAGGCCTGTGAAGCAAAGGGTGGCCGGTTCAATTCCCTGTCAGGGCACGTGCCTGGGTTGCGGGCCAGGTCCCCAGTAGGGGCCACGTAAGGGGCAACCACACATTGATATTTCTCTCCTACTCTTTCTCCTTCCCTTCCCCTCTCTCTAAAAATAAATAAATAAATAAATAAGTAAAATAATTAAGATTTTTAAGAAGAGGAAAATGGAATCAGACTTCTGGCCAAGACAGAAGGGTAGGTAGACACACTGTGCCTCCTCGCACAACCAAAAGGACAACAAATTTAAAAACAAAAAAACGAAAAGTAACCAGAACTGCCAGACAATTGAACTGGATGGAAGTCCAACCAAGGAGTTAAAGAAGAATCGCTCACCCAGACCGGTAGGACGGGCAGAGACAGGCAGCCGGGTGGAGAGGACCCGCGGCAAGGCTGCAGCTGGCGGACCCTGAGAGATGGCAGACTGGGAACTGGTTGGTCCCAGATTCTCGTGCGGATAAACGAAGAGAAGCAACTGGGGACCGGGACAGACTGCACAAACCAGGGTTCTGTGCAGGTAAATAAAGCCTAAAGACTCTAAAAACACCTGAGGGGGATGAGGCAGCAGGAGAAACTCCCAGCCTCAAGGGAGAGTCCATTGGAGAGACCCACGGGGTCCTAGAACGCACACAAGCCCACCCACCTGGGAATCAGCACCACAAGGACCCACTTTGATTGTGGGAAGTGGGGGAAGTGACTCAAAACCAGCAGAGAGCGGAGCAAGTGGCACTGTTCCCTCTCAGACCCTCCCCAGGTACAGCGTCACAACACAGCCACGTGGGCTGCCCCGCCCTGGTAAACACCTAAGGCTTCGCCCCTTACTACGTAACAGGTGTGCCAAGACGAAAAAATGTGGCCCAAATGAAAGAACAGTTCAAAGCTCCAGAAAAAATACAACTAAGTGATAAAGAGATAGCCAACCTATCAGATGCACAGTTCAAAACACTGGTGATCAGGATACTCACAAAACTGGTTCAGTATGGTGGCAAATTAGATGAAAAAATTAAGGCTATGCAAAGTGAAATAAAGGAAAATGTACAGGGAACCAACAGTGAAGGGAAAGAAACAGACTCGAATCAATGGTTTAGACCAGAAGGAAGAAAGAAAGAAACATTCTACCAGAACAGAATGAAAGAAATAAGAACTTTAAAAAATGAGGAGAGGCTTAGGAACCTCTGGGACAACTTTAAATGTTCCAACATCCGAATCATAGAGGCACCAAAAGGGGAAGAGGAAGAACAAGAAATTAAAACTTATCTGAAAAAATAATGAAGAACTTCCCCAATCTGGCAAAGGCAGTAGACTTCCAGGAAGTCCAGGCAGCTCAGAGAGTCCCAAAGAAGTTGGACCCAAGGAAGCACACACCAAGGCACATCATAATTACATTAGCCAAGATTAAAGATGAAGGGAATCTTAAAAGCAGCAAGAGAAAAGGAGACAGTTACCTACAAAGGAGTTCCCATAAGACTGTTGGCTGATTTCTCGAAAGAAACCTTGCAGGCAAGAGGGGGCTGGAAAGAAGTATTCCAAGTCATGAAAGGCAAGGACCTACATCCCAGATTGCTCTATCCAGCAAAACTTTCATTTAGAATGGAAGGGCAGATAAAGTGCTCCTCAGATAAGATCAGATTCAAGGAGTTCATCATCACCAAGACCTTATTATATGAAATATTAAAGGGACTTATCTAAGAAAAAGATTTAAAAAATATGGACAGTAAAATGACAACACACAGCTATTTACAGCAGAACCTAAAACTAAAACTAAGCAAATGACTACAACAAGAACAGAATCACAGAAATGGAGAGCACGCGGAGGGTTAGTATCAGGGGAGTGGGAGGAGAGGGGGAAAAGGTACAGAGAACAAGTAGCATAGCTGGTAGGAGAAGGGTAAGAACAGTATGGGAAATGTAGAAGCCAAAGAACTTACATGTGCTACCGATGGACATGAACTAAAGTGGGGGGAATGCAGGTGGGAGGGGGTGTGCAGGGCAGAGGGGAATAAAGGGGGGGAATGAGACAACTGTAATAGCATAATCAACAAAATATATTTTCAAAAAGAAGAGGAAAATGGTAAATGTTGGTGAGGACGTAGAGGGATCCCTGAGCACTGTGGGTGGGAAGATAAATCGAGGCAGCAGCCACGGAGGACAGCAAGGCCACCTCTGGGCGGAGCCCCACAGGACTGGCCACAGGGACGCACACATGTGCACACGTGTGCTCATAGCAGCTCGGGTCATTGTTGCCCAGAGGTTGGAAGCAGCCCGCTGTCCCTTGAGGTGGTGAAGAGACAAGCAGGGTGTGGTCCCCCCCAGCAGAATATCGTTCAGCCCTCAGACAAAACGGAAGGAGACCCTGTTCCCTGCTGCCACTGGAGGGGCCAGGAGGACGTGAGCTCAGGGAGCTGAGCTGGCAGGGAAGGACTCGTGCTGGGTGCGTCCACTCCCAGGAGGCCCCCAGTGAGGCAGAGCCTCAGACAGAAGTGGGCGTGGTGCCAGGATGGGGGGGGCACAGGGAGAGAGTGACGGGGACTGAGTATCATTCCGGGGGGCGGCTGCCCAACGTCACATGTACCTCACCCCGCTGGACCCCATGATGGCAAATGGTTAAAATGGTAATTGTCATGCTCCGCGTATTTCATCGCCGTACAAAACTTCCAAGTAAAAAATTCTTCAGTGAGTTGAACAACAAAGGTGGGGCCTGGAGGGTGAACCAGGCTCGCAGGCAGAGTGCGGGTGGAACCCACGTACAGGGACTGGCCACCCGGCCACCCCGAGGTTTCCCCACAGCTCCGAGCCGGGGTGGCCAGCGTCCCCCAGTGTCACTGCGCTGGGACGTGGACCTCAGCGGCTGCAGGAGGCAGGAGCCCCACTGACCTGGGGCCAAGAGTGGGGGACAGAGGTGCCCCACAGGTCACCCTCGATGGGGGCAGTCACACCTGTAGGGACAGCGATGGGCGGGCGAGAGGGTGGTGCCCGTGGGTCCCTGCCAGGTGCCCGGTCTGGGCCTGGGGGGGGCACTTGTCCTCCTCAAGTGGCAGCCCCCTTGCAGGGAGGCACACCCACCGGTCACTTGGATTGTTGAACCTGGATGGAGGCCGGCTCAGATCAGACTTGGCTGGGGCAGTGACTGTTCCCACTGGGCGTGAGCCTGTGGCCGGGACCCCTGCCCTCCCGTCTCCGAAACGCCACCTCGGACAAACCAGCCTGGGGGGCTGCAGTGGGCCACACCGTCACTCTGCGGGAGGTTCCCGTGGGGACAGGACTGGGGGGGGGTGTTGAGGGCAGACAACCCGCAGTGACCTCGTTCTCCCCTCTTTCCTGCTCACCTGGGAAGGCATCTCTCCTGGAACCTGAGTGTAGGCAGGTGAGTTTCCTGGGCCCCCTCCAGCCTGTGGGTGGCCTTGGGGGAGACACCGGCTGGGGCCACGGCCTCGCTTTCTCCTCGAGAACCTGCTCTGCCAGGGTCACAGCAGACGCCTCGGAGAAACACAAAGGGCATAAAACCACGAGTGGACACATTTCACACTTGTGACCAAACGCAAAGCAAATGTGAAACAGGCCTGGCACCGGGCAGGGCGCCGAGGGCACGCGTGCGCTCTCCACCCAGCACACCTGACGGCACACCTGCCTCGGCCGAGGGCCAGGTCCCCTCGTGCCCAGCAAACGCCTCCCGTCCAGACGCCTGGTGTCCTGTGCCAGCTGCCAGGCAGTGCGCTCAGCACCTGGGTGAATGGGCCCCTCGTCAGCCGGTCGCTCTCTCCTCTGTCCCCACTTCCCGGTGTGGCCCACTGCCTTCTGCCCCGTGTTCCTTGCTCCCCAATATCCAGCCGCCTTCAGGTCCTGGTGAGGCCAGCAGCTCCGGTGCATAAATTGTGCCCCAGATCTTCCACACGTATTTCTCTAAAAATGATGCCCTTGGGACTTCTAATAAAAAGTTCTCGTCGGGTCAGGCCGGGCAACACCTTAACCAGGTGCTCCACGTTGGGGCCCCGGCGGACGGAGTCTCTGCAGTCTCGGCTCCCCTGCTTCCGCCGCCATGTGGCCGCCGGGACGACGACCAGCTCGAGGACTTCCTTCTGTCATCCCAGGTGTTGTGTGAGTTTCAACCCACGTAGGTTTGTCATTAAAACCCGTGAAAACAGCCTCTTCGAGGGCTCGGCCTGCAGTTCAGTAATGTGCAAAGTGTTGCCAGCAAACCTCACACCTGACTTTACAAACTGAGGTCCCTGAGACGCGAGAACAAGTCCACAACCTGCTCCTGGTGGCGGTGTGGGGTCACCCTCAGCGCCTGGACGGAGAACAGGGAACGATGGGCTGGACACGGACTTACACAGAGACCTCACCAGAAGCCCAGGAAGGAGGCTGGTCCTGGAACACAGGGCTCCCGCCGCCCTGCCCTCAGGTCCGGGGAGTGCCAGCTGGGGTCAGCACCCCCGTCCTCAGAAGGCCGGGACCATGGCCGAGCACGAGTGGAAGGGCTGTGGGACCCCCAGGCCTCGCTGGAACCCGATGCACGGACAGCGAGAGGACAAGTCCCACTGTGAACGCAGCTCCTCGGGCCACCCGCAATGACCGCTGTGCCTCAGCCTGTGCCTCCTGATGGGGCTGTCCCGACAGAACATTCCAGGCCTGCCCAGCCCACAGGTGGCCCCAGAGTGGAGGTGCTGACCTTTTCTTTTGTTCAACACGAGACGCCACCCGTGGCCAGTGGCTGCTGTGTCGGTGCACAGGCCTGGCGCCCAAAGCCCTTGGTGCTGTCCCTGCAATAGGGACAGGGGCCCAGGGTGGCTGGCTGTCAAGTGGGGGAGGCAGGTTGGGGCCCTGGCTCTCCTCCAAGACACTGTCCCAGGAAAGCGAAGCCCACAGCTCCGGGGCACCTGCTGCCCATGGGCATCTCCCTGGGGGTTCGGCCAGCCTCCCCCACCTGCGTTTCTGTGGACATGGCGGGCCACCATTCCCCGGGGCAGCTTCCCCTGCATCTGGCACTTGACTGAGCCGGAGAAGGATCTGGAGCCTGGGGACCTGCTCTACCAACAAAAGGGGCAGGGGATATGCGTCATGCCCTGGCGGCAGTGTTCACTGGCCGTCCTGGGACAGCCGGTGGGGGGCGCTGTCTACCTCCCTGTCCTTAGAACAGCTGCACACAGAACGGGGTGGCCTGGGTGACAGCCCCCAGTCAGAGTACAGTTGGAGGGCATTCACACATCTAAATGAAACTATGGCCTGCACCTTCCAGGGTGCAGAACTGACGGGCAGGAAGTCCCGCCCACAAAGCCGAGTGTTGGTGGTAGGCTGGGGAGCGGGTTTGGATTCAAGCTCCTTACCTTTCCCACAGTGACTTCCTGGCTGCACCTGTTCTCAGGTGAACACACCTGTGTGTGGTGCATTCTGGGCCTAGGCCAGCACCTCCTGGTCCCTCTGCCCCTCTCTGTGGTGCCCCCACCCTGCCCTCGCCTGCAGCTGGCCTCACAGTCCCAGCTGCAGACGCCCAGTCGGCCCAGAGTCTCCCTCCTCAGCCCCAGGTTTGGAGCCTGCAGGCAGCTGGGTGGACAGGCTGTGCCCCTCCTTGAGAGGGGGGCATGTCTGGACTCTGGGCACTTCCGACATTTGGTGCCCTGCCCCTCCCCTGTGTGAAGGGCACCCAGACTGTGTCCACGGGACAGCAGAGACCGTGGTGGACAAGCCCACGGCTCCTCCTGGGAGGACGGCACCCACTTCCCGAAAGTGAAAACTCTCCAGGAAGAAGCCCAGCAGACCTGCCGCAGGGAGCGTGATGGGGGCCCCACTCTGTCACCGGCTGTCTGGGCAGCGGCGCGGGCTGCATGGCCGTGTGGCTGGGTGTGTTCCAGCTTCATGTTGAAAGCAGGGTCTCTGAAGACACAGTTTGCACACAGGAGGTCGTGCCCTCTGGAGCCTACAGTGCCTGGTGGTTTGAGAGCTGGTTCAGCCAGCTCGGCAGGGCTGGGAAGAGGGGACCTCAGTCCACAAGGGTGGGTTTGCCGGGAAGCAGGGATCCTGAGTGTGGGTTGGGGCCTCGGTGGGCTTGCCTGTGGCGTGGGGACTGTGGAGGGGCCTGGCTGGGCAGCACAGGCCTGGGTGAGCACCGCTGCCACTTGCCAGGTGAGCCCCTGCCCTGTGCCTGACCCCAGGGCCAGGGCGCCCTAAAGGAGGCGTGGTCACAGCAGGCCCAATCTCCTCACTATGAACGTGATGTCTGTAGAACTCTCTGGAAGGGCAGGGCCCAGGAGGCACAGGACTGGGTCCCAGGAGGCAGGGACATTTCCAAGCATTGGATACTGACCCCACCACTCCTCCTCCCACCAGCTCATCCTCGGGGCCTGTGGGGCTTGGAGTCATTGGGGCACAGTTAACAGAGGGTCACAGCCCACCAGCCGCCCCCCTTCTCTAGCCTCCTCCCGGGTCAGTGGAATCTTCTTCTCGAAGGCCACTTTCAGAAAATGGTCCCTCATCACCATGTGCTTCAGCTCCATGTCTCCTGGGGTCCCAACAGGGGTCTGATCCCCACACACGTCACTGCACGAGCATCCTTGGGGGCTTTGCTGCCAGCGACGTGCGCCCGGGTGCAGTGTGGTTTCCTCACTTCCGTTTCATGGGGTCCCACCCAAACGGGAATTTGGGGACCACAGAGAGAGGGGCGTCTGAGGGGAGCAGAGGCTGCACCGCCCCGCCCCGCCCGGCCAACCAGCTCTGTCCTCTCCAGGAGCTCGAGCAGCAGCTCATGATGGAGCAGAGAACCTACCGGAAGACCCTCAAGTTCTACCAGAAGCTCTTACAGAAGGAGAAGCGGAGTAAAGGTAGGGCCGTGAGCTCAGGGTGGCCCGGGGGCCCTCGGGGCCAGGGCCTCGGGGTGCTGACGGTGCCCCGCCCCCAGGCTCCGAGGTGAAGACAATGCTCTCCAAACTGAAGGGGCAGCTGGAAGAAATGAAGTCCAAGGTGCAGTTCCTCGGACTGGTCAAGAAGTACCTGCAGGCGAGTCGCCCTGCCTTCCCGGCTCCGCCCCCTGTGGGTTTCCCGCAGTTAAACCTTGGGAATCGGTCCTGTCACCCACCCCCGACTTCTGCAGGGCCTGGGGTGGGGGTCCACCGAGACCGGTGTCCCGCACCCCCTGGCGGCAGGTCCGCCAGAAGCGCTGACGCGCTCCGCCCGCAGGTCCTGTACGCGGAGCAGTGGGGCCTGGAGCCCAGCGCACTGCCCCTGCTGGTGAACGTGGCCGCGGCCCACTGCAGCGCGCCCGACTTCAGCCCTCTGGACGAGTCCTCCTCCCTCATCTTCTACAACGTCAGCAAGCACCCCCGCGGCGGCCGGCAGCGCAAGGCCCGCGTCCTGCAGGCGGGCACGCCGCTGGGGCTCATGGCCTACCTCTACTCCAGGTGCACACCGTGCAAGGGGGGGTCCTGGGGGCGCCCGGCCACCCCTAGGCCTTTGAGAGGGAAAGGGAGACAGAAGGACAAAGGGGCCAGAGGAGGGAAAAGCAGGCGGTCTCCCTCCCTCCTGGAGCCGCGCGCGACTCAGAAAAGACCGGGGAGGCCGCCGCACCTCCTTGGCTGGGCTCCTGGTCCAAGTGGCCTCAGAGCCACTGCCCCACGGGGGGCAAGTCTGAGGCCTCAGACGCCCGGGTCGCAGGTGCCTCAGCAGGGGCTTTGGAGGAAAGTGGGTCAAGAACCGCCCAGCGGGCTTCTCAGACCACACACACACACACACACACACACACACACACACACACACGGAGCCCCCAAGGCAGGCCCAGGTCAGCCCCCCAGAGTCAAAGCACCCACGGCCAACTGTCCGGCTCCCGGGGCCACACTGTGGGGGCTCGGCACGCTCACTGCAGTGCGTGTGGGGCTACCACACACGGGTGCAACACCCCAACAGCACAGAGCTTTGGGGACCAGTTGGTGGCCTTTCCCACACAGCAGCTTCCACCCTGGGCCTGGTGACTGGGAGCACAGCCGTGTGTGGTCACAGGCTCTAGGAGACTGACGAGGGCCGTGAAAAATGACGTGCCCCCCCCACGCAGACTCACTCACATGCACACTCACACGGAACTCTCATGTTGACACATCCACACAGAACTCATCATGTTCACACTCATGTGGAACTCACACTTCACACTCCACACAGAACTCATGTTCACACTCCCATGGAGTGTGAACACACACAACTCACTCCCACGCGTTCACACTCACACACACATTCACACAAGAACCACTAGCACAGGTGTGGGGGGTGCGGGCAGGTACGGGGCGGCCACGCCTGACGGGCCCCTCCCCCCGCGCAGTGACGCCTTCCTGGAAGGCTACGTGCAGCAGTTCCTGTACACCTTCCGCTACTTCTGCACGCCCCAGGACTTCCTGCACTTCCTCCTCGACCGCATCAGCAGCACCCTGTGCAGGTACGCCCGGCGGCCGCATGCTGGCCGAGGGGGTGGCGGGTGCCCCGGACAGGCCCAGTCCTGCCCTGTGACAGAGCCCCGGGCCCCGCGGTGTGGAGGCTGCTGCCTCTCTCCTGTCCCCAAGGAGGGGGGTAAGCGCTGAGACCCCCCTGGAAGGCAGAGCTGCCTCCAGACCTCATGTGCGTCCCCTGCCCCCAGGGCCCACCAGGACCCCAGCTCGACCTTCACCAAGATCTACAGGCGCAGCCTGTGCCTGCTGCAGGCCTGGGTGGAGGACTGCTACTCGGTGGACTTCACCCGGAACGCCGGGCTGATGGGCAAGCTTGCCGACTTCGTCTCCTCCAAGGTGGCGAGGGCGGCACTGGGGGGGGACAGCGGCCGCCCAGCCTAGAGCACAGCTGTGACCCCTCTACTCCTGTCCAGATCCTGCCCCTGGACGGCTCTGCGGAGCACCTGTTGGGGCTCCTGGAGGTGGGGGCCGACAGGCGGGCCGAGGGCGGCCCGCGCGGCCCAGACCCGGAGGACCCCAAGGAGGCGGAGGAGGACGCCAGGCCCCTCAACGCCCTCTGCAAGAGGCTCTCAGAAGATGGCATCACACGCAAGGTGGGGTCCCCGGGGAGGGCCTCCTGGGGCAGTGCTGCTCCTGACCCTGGGGACCAGTGTGTATGCGTGGGCACACAGACATGCACCCAGACACACACACGCACATGTGTGCTGCTGCCAGCATGTGAGCAACACACCCATGTGCGTGCACATGTACACATGTGCCCACATGCACGCAGACACCTGCATGTGCCGTGTGAACGAGTACGTGTGTTCACACACATGCAGGCTCACTGTGCACATGCTCCTTGCTGCCAGTCCTGAGGCCGGCCCTGTGGGGCTGGCACTTCCTGTCCCCCCCCACCCAGGTGAGGACAGCAGAGGGCTGGCAACAGCCCTTTCCTTCCTGACCCTGGGGCCGGGGTGAGCGCGGGGCCTGAGGGAGCCCTTCCACGGCACTAGGGGAGCCCCAAACCTTGGTGGCTCTGTCTATGGGGGACCCACTAGATGGGCCAAGCCAGGTGTCCTTGCACCCACCGGGCTGCAGAGGGAGGGACTTGCCGTCTGGCTCTGGCTGAGCCGGGCTGAAGGGTCGTGGGCCCGGCTCCTCTCCCCCGCCCCCCATGCAGAGCTTCCCCTGGAGGCTGTCACGGGGCAACGGGCTGGCACTGCCGCTGCCGCACCACAAGCAGCGCCAGTACACCATCGCGTCCGCCCTGCCCAAGCCCTGCTTCCTCGAGGACGTCTGCGGCCCCTACACCAAGGCCAGCGAGAAGGGGCCGTACTTCCTCACTGAGTACAGCACCCACCAGCTCTTCACCCAGCTGACGCTGCTGCAGCAGGCAAGGGGCCAGCCGCCTGGGGGGAGGCCAGGGCCCACAGATGTCTGCTGGTAGAAAATACAGACACACAGTGAGCCTGGTGGCCAGCTGCACAGGCTGGGGGCAATGCCGCCCAAAGGGGAGGTGGGGCCTTCGCTCTGTGGCCACAGGGCCCACTGCCCGCCCTCATTCGTCCCCGACATGTCCCAAGCACCAGAGGGTGCCCTTCGGACACCATGGGGACCACCTCCCCTCCCAGAGCTGCTCCAGCATCCCAGGCCCCTTTGCTCCCCCCTCGGCCCAGCCTCTAAGCATCTCCTTCCCAGCCCTCCACCATCCTCACTCCCCACATCACTCGACAGGTGGCTGCAGTGGCAGCCACCCAGCGGGGTCACAGCGGGCAGACTGTGTGCCCCAGGCTTCGTCCTGCAGCGTAGGGAAGGGGTGCACTAGTGTGGGGGCGCCCCCCAAACCTTGAGCACAGGTCCCTGGGGAAGGGGCCTCAGCATCTGGGTCCTTGTCTCCACAGGACCTGTTTCAAAGGTGTCATCCCGTCCACTTCTTAAACTCACGGGCCCTGGGCGTCATGGACAGGAGTGTGGCCATCCCGAAGTGAGCGTCTGCCCACGGGGGTCCACCCGGGGTCCTGGGCGGAGGGGCCGGTGGGAGGCTCTGGGGGGCTTCACCACAGTGTCTCACGGACACTGTCGGCTGAAGGGAGGTGCTGGTGTCAGGAGCCGCCTCGGAGCGGGTCGAGCACCCATTTTCAGTGACACCTGCCCACGTCCTTCCAGAGCCAGCTCCTCCGAGTCTCTGTCAGCCAAGACCTGCAGCTTATTTCTGCCCGACTACATCCAGGACAAGTACCTGCTGCAGCTCTTACGGAGCGCGGACGACGTCAGCACCTGGGTGGCCGCAGAGATCGTCACCAGCCACACGGCCAAGGTTGGTGCCTCCACAGCTGTGAGCTTGGGGCAGGGCCTGGGGACCAACCGCTAGGGCCCCGCCATCCAGCCCCCAAGGCAGGGGCTGCACAGGCCTCCAGCCTCTGTGGGACTGCACACGTGTTACCCTGCCACACGTATGCATGCACTGTCTCACACATGCAGTCCACGTGCGGTCCACCACACACACACACACACAGAGGACGTCCCCCAGCCCTCTCCACATCCCTGCCTCAGCCGTGTCCGGGCTGTGAGTTGGGACTCCCGAAGGTCCCACAAACCTGAGCTCTGCAAGGGTGGGGACTGACTGGGTTGCTGCCATACCCTTTCGGGCAGCGTATCTCGTGCCCTCAGCCGGGTGACAGAGTAAAACAAACGCAGGTCAGTGGTCCAGTCAAGGTCAACCACCCACTCCTAGGGCTCAGCCCAGCCCCTTCCGGTCCCTGGGACTCAGCTGGACCAAAGTATCTCTGCCTCAGCTGACCCACCTGCATCAGGCGGGGCCAAAAGGTGGGCCAAGAGGGACAGTCACCTGTGTCAGGGCCCCAGAGCCGCCACGAAGGCCACCACCTCCCCATCAGATGGCGGAACCAAGAAAACGTGTGCTCCTGGGATTAGCAGCCTCTGCAGTTTCTTTTTCCTTTTCCGATGCCCCTGTACCTCTCCCTGACCCCCACGGGCAACCCCAAGTCCCAGTCATAAATGCAGTTTTCTGTGTCTTTTCCCTTTGGGGAGAATTTTCTAGCTCAGTAATTTAAGAGTAGACAGATGGGCCCACTCTCACTTCTGCCAGGACATGGGAGCCTGGCTCCCTGGTCCGTCCTCGTCTGCGACGTTACAGACCCATGACGCCAGCCGCCACCTCCCCACACCAGGGTCTTCCCCTGGGACCCCCGCAGGGACAGTCCCTCCACGGACCTTGGCCTCCCGGGAGCTTTCCTGAACCCCGGGCCCCCGAGAAGGCAGAAACGGGGGCTCCCATCCTGAGTCCACAGACGCCCCCCGGCAGGTCGATGCAGGGGCCCCCCCAAGCGGGTTCTGTCTCGTCCCGTCGGTGGTGACACAGCCCAGGCTCATGCCCGGCCCGCAGGGCAGGCACGGTGGCTCCCACGTCCCTGTCAGCAGAGGGTGCCAGTGAGCAGCAGGACGCAGGAGCAGCCCATGGCACCTGGGCAGGGGACACATTTCTGACGAAACCAGAGGTGGGCCTTCAGCCACAGTGCCTGTCCCTTCCAAAAGACCTGCCATCCCCTCGGAATAATCCAGATTTCACCTCCGAAAACTGGAGTCACAGTGGGTGAGCCCTGGGGACACCGCTGAACACAACACAGCCATCTCGGAACAGACGGATCGTTTCCCTGGACCCCAGCGTCGGAGTCGTGACAGCGGTGGAGGAGCCCCAGCCAGGCAGCTGGGAGGTCATGACGGTGAATGACCTCCAGAGATCGTCCATGCGACCTCTGACCGCTGCGCATCGTGATCACGGCAGACCAGGGTCAAGCCCAATGGAAGGGAGTCTGGTCGGTTCCTACAGACGCCGTGTCCACCTGAAGAAGGGCCTTGGCCGTGGGGACAGTGTGATGGGTGACACATCACTAAACGAGGGGCCTGATATCTGCAGAACCTTCTAGACGTCTCTGGAATTGTGAAATCCAAGCGCTGTCCACGGGTCCGTGACCTTAGCCTCTCGGGTCTGCTGTAAAACGGGGTGGCCTCAGGAGTGACCTCTCTTTGGGCCTGCCCAAGGGTCTTCCCATCAAGCCCGTGACCTTGACCCCAGTGGGCAACACACTGCAGGAAGCAGGGGGGCCACATGGGACAGCCCCCGGTCAGGTGCTGAGGCACATCCTGTGGTGGACACTGACCTGGTGGGCAAGCTCCCGCTTGTGGCCACAGGGGCTCAGTCTCCTTGGAGTGTCCTGCTCCGTTTGTCCCCTCCCTTCGCCCAAGTTGTCCTGGGAGCCACAGCACCTGCAGGGCCTGAGGTTAACCTTGTGGTCCATCTTTATGCTTATCGGGCACTGGCCTTCCTGTTTTCCAGTAACGCCACCCCCTGCCCAGCTCCCCACCACCACTCAGACCTGCCCCCCCACCCCGCCGGCCCCTGGCACACAGGGCCGTGCGGCCCCCGTGCGCCGCCGTAACCGCAGACGCTGAGTGCACCGCCCCCGTGCAGTTGCAGGTGAACCTGCTGTCCAAGTTCCTGCTGGTGGCGAAGCTGTGCTACGAGCAGAGGAACTTCGCGACCGCCATGCAGATTCTGGACGGCCTGGAGCACCTGGCCGTGCGGCAGTCCCCAGTGAGTCCCGGAGGGCGCGGGCCGGGGGCACCACCTCGCCCCGGGGGCCCCGCTCACCTGTGCTCTCCTTCTAGGCCTGGAGGGTTTTACCCGCAAAGATAGCAGAGGTCATGGAGGAGCTCAAAGCCGTGGAGGTACCCCCATTTTACGTGCGCTTCGGGCAGCTGCGTCCACCCGGGCTCCCACCCGTAACGATTTGACCTGCATCGCTGGGGGTGGCACCCCACAGAGCTCCGGGCCTCCTGGGTGTGATGCACGGAGCCGTCCGGCCTGGGCAAAGGCGACCGGGAGCTCAGGGGCCCTGGAAGCCACCTGTGGCACAGGGTGCAGGTGCCCCAAGGACCTGAGCTGGCTGGCCAGCCTCCTCACCACCTGCAGTGTACAGAGAAGCCCCATGAGAGGGAGGCAGCAGCATTTGCAGCGATGGGGCATCTCCCCCAAACGAGGCTGCAGGGCAGACCCGGCCCAGACACGGCCCTGTGTGCGTGTCCTCAGTGGACACCCACCCAGCCCGGGGCCCCACCACTGGCTGGCCCCGGTCTTGGTCTCATCGGGACCCCGTGGGAGGGTGCGTGAGGAGAGGCATTTGCCATTTGAGCAGTGGGAGGTGAGCAGCTTTCTGAGGGGCATCAAGCTGCCCCTCAGACACCTGGACTCTGACCCCCAACCCAATAATGCAAGGTGCGTTCGGATGGGTTGGAAGTCCGAAGGCTGTGACACCCTTCAGCGGGAACACGGGTACCAACTGGGCTGCACTGGGCTGCGCCAGCCCCTGGCTGAGCGTCCAGGGCTGACCTCTGGCCTGTCTCCCCCACCCATGCCCCGGGCTGGGCCACCAGGTGTTCCTGAAGAGCGACAGCCTGTGTCTGATGGAAGGGCGGCGCTTCCGGGCCCAGCCCACCCTGCCCTCAGCCCGCCTCCTGGCCATGCACATCCAGCAGCTGGAGACTGGGGGCTTCACCATGACCAATGGGGCCCACAGGTGGAGCAAGCTCAGGTGAGGGCCCCCGGGTGCAGCGGGCGCAGGTGAGGGCCTCCCCCATCCCTCCGGCTCCTCTGAGGCCTGGTCCTCTGTCCCCCACTCAACCCTCACCACCTCCCAACCCCCTGCCCCCACGCCCTGCAGCCTCCTCCTCCACAAACAGGGCCAGCCGGTCCCACACTTTGGGCACCTTGGTCTCAAAGTGTGGCCCCACCGGTCACGTGACCTTCCTGCTGGGAGATCCAGGCTCGCCGTGAGCCTCACCTCAGCTGCTCGGCGCCTGCCCTCCCTGACCGTCCCACCCCTCCTCTCTCCCTGCTCCCACCGTCCCCCGAGGCCCCCCTCCCTCGAGCTCACTGCGGACACAGCGCAGGGCTGGCTGTAAGCCACCTCCACTGCAGCCCAGCCAGAGAGGACACTGCCCCATTCTGCCAGGACAGGGACTCACGAGCTGCACCCCCAGCCCTTCCTGTCCTCGGAGCCCCAGGTCCCTGTTCCTTGCCGTTCCGGGCCAGCCCGGCTCCAGGGGGGCCGTCACCCCACAACCCGCAGCACACTCAGGCGGCCAGGTGGGGACGGTCAGACTCAGCCCAGCCCCACGACCTCAGGGCCCGGAACCAGAGGTTCCAACCCACTCCCTGCAACCCCCGCTCCCCACCCAGTCACCAACCTTAGGGTGGCTTTTAGGAGACCCTGCAGTACACACTTAGCATGTGAGGTCACCAGACCCCCGACAGCACAACGGGGAAGAAACCGCGGCAGCGACGCGGCCCCGCAGAGCAAGGGCGAGGCCACACATGCACCTGGCCATCATCTCGTTCCCAAGAACGAGATCATCCATTCGGGACACACCACCGCTCCCTCCAGACTCAGGATGGGAATGCCTCTTAGAGCCCCCCACACCAGACGCCCCGGGGTTGCTGGTCACTGCTCCCTTGCAGCTCTCTCCGGGAATGAGCCCTGGTTCCCGGGATTGCCACTTCCCGGGGGGTGAGACACTCTCGGGGTGGTGGCTCGAGCTGCCATCCACCTTCCCTGAACCCCGTGCTGGGGAGACGCGCTGGCCGCTGATGGCCCCTGCACGACCCGTGTCCACAGCGTCCACCTCCTCCACGTCCCCAGCCACCCACTGTGGGTTTTATTCATGTTGGGACCCTTAGCACCAATTGGGGTGACGTAGATTCTCAGTAAATGTCTGTGAAATGAAAAGTGGGTGAATGGACGGACAGGTGGATGGAGAGACAGACAACAGGCCTGGGCAGGGAGTGAGGTTTGCCTCGTGAACAGAGACCACTCGGAGCGCATCCTCCGAAGAGCCTGGGTCCCCTCCGGCGGGAGCTCACGTCCCACTTCCCCGCCCGGCACAGGAACATCGCCAAGGTGGCCAGCCAGGTGCACGCCTTCCAGGAGAACCCCTACACCTTCGCCCCGGACCCCAAGCTGCAGTCCTGCCTCAAGCAGAGGATCTCGCGGTTCAGCGGGGCCGATGTGTCCCTCTTAGCCGCAGACAGCCGGGCCAGCTGCCACCAGGTTGCCAGTGAGAAGCACTCTCGCAAGATCCAGGACAAGTTACGGCGAATGAGAGCCACGCTCCAGTGACAGGACGGTGGGTCTGAGCACAAGACCACGCCCAAGGATGGCACCCGGAGAGAGGGGCCGCCGGCTCTGGCCCCTCGGCACTGCAGGCGCAGCGTGCACCCCCTTAGACTAGGGACCCCCCAACACTGGCCCAGCTGAGGCCTCTGGGCACTGGGACGGGGCAGTGCAGGGCTCAGGCCGCAACCCGGGGAGGTCCGGGTGTTTCTGCTAGAAAATTTAACAGTTCAATCTTGAAACTTTAAATGAAAACAGAGTAAGTTAACGCCCCAGGATCGGAGAAAGGGCTCTCCCCATTCTCCACCGGTCCAGCCCACCCCAGCCCCAAGCCTGCCTGCCCGCTGCCCGCCCACACGCAGGTTTAACCCCATTTCCGTGGGTCTGGCCTCCCAGGGCCCAGCAACAAAGGACCAAGACTGACCTCTGACCCCCACACTATCCTCAGGTCCCAAGGGGTTCTGAACCCTTCCTTTGGGGCCCCTGAAGCTTCCCAGTGGCCTGAGCCCCAACCCAGCTCACACTCCCACCCCCCAGATCCCCCAGCCCCACTTACCCCCAGCTAACCTGGGCCTAGCCGGGTGGGGATCCCCACTGCGCCCCCTGCTGCTGGCAGGCACCTTGCAGCCCCACCCTCATAGCTCCCCCAGTGCCCCGGGGCCCCACAATGAAGCCTCCTGGTGGGACGGCTGTGCCCCAGCCACGGTTCTGTGCCCAGCAAAGCACAAAGGGCACAGCAGCTCCAACACGGAAGCAGCCTCAGGGGCCGAGAGGCCCCTGCTGGTCTGGTGGCCTGGAAGCCCCCGTGCTGTGGCCGCTGCTCACCCGCCTTCAGCCACGGTGCATGGCACGCACACACCCACACCCGGGCTCCCCCAGCTTGCCGCCGCTAGCACTCCGTCAGAGCCGACCACCTTGCTGGCAGAGGTCTCCCCCGGGGCTGGGGCTCAGGCTGTCCCGTGGGTCCGCCACAGCCCCCCAGGGCCTCTTCCCCACTGAGGGAGGCCGGACACCCTGGCACCACCCCAGGCCCCCATTCTTGTGTTGCAAATCACCACAAGGCCACAACTGCTCTTCTGAGTTTTAGAATTAGTGATTCTGTAGAGCGAGCAGCTAGTGGTACTTCCGGGAGAGCTGTGCCTGAGACCAGATGCCGCCCCTCCCACGTCCGGACGCGCCCTCCCCTGGAGCTCACCCCAGACACTGGGTTCTGACTCAGTGGAATTGGGGACCTGCACTCCTGGCCGTGCAAGGGTGGTTTGTGGGTATTTTTTGGGCTTTTATAGGACTGGGTTCTGCCAATCAACTCTTTGCTTTCAGATTTTGAGTTTAACGAGATAGGGCTGCAAAGCCTGAGGCTGCATCAGTGCTCTGCACAAACATTCCAATTGCTACAATTTATTAGGGGAACGGATGGGGCTTTCAGCTTTAGCACGAGGTTTGCATGGCGCCGTCCTGTCATGTTGCACAGGTTTCTAAATAAAGTCGTTTCTACCAAGACAGCTTCCCTGCGGCTCATTCCGTTCCTGCTGTGCGGTCACAGTGGGGGCCCTACACGACGGGATGGAGACGGTCGGTGCTCGTGAACGTGCTGGGGGCCAGGTCCTCGGGCGGCTCGGAGAAGGGCAGGCCCACCGACCCCTCCCCTTTCAGCCCTGCAGGCCCGTGGTCAGCACACTCGTTCTGCAGGAAACACTTCCTCTGGAGGGGACGGCAGACCACCCAAAATCTTGTAGCGGAGTCCCGAAGGCCTCCCAGCACCCCTCCCCAGGCTGCTCTGCCACAGGGGTCCCAGACCCAGCCACTCCCACCTGCCGAGCCCCATGCACACACAGACACCCAGACCTCCCGGCAGCCTGCGGGCGGGACAGTGGTGGGCTGCTCCCAGGGCACGCCTCACCAGGGCCTGGCTGCGGGGTCCACACGGAAGGGGTCCGGATCAGTGGGCACCACACAGGCAGGGGTGGACGGCCAAGGGCTCACAGTGCTTGGGGCACAAAGCGTTGGTGTGGTCTTTGGAGAGCCGGCTGATCTGTCCGAGGCTCCTGTGTGAGTGGCGACGAGCTCCGCCCACTGACAAGTCTGGAAGAGCAGAGTTTTAACGAAACACAGGGAGGCAGGAAAGTCCTGCAGCTGCCGCGTGGCCAGGTGGCTCCAGTACCCCAGTGGCAGGGGCGGGCAGTTTGGGCCCTCACCTACCTCAAAGTCGCTAAACCCCAGCACCTCTTCCCTCCTGATACCCAAGTAAGATCCTGAGGAGGCAGGCCTCCCTTCACCGCACCCGTCAACCGAATCCACAGGAACCGAAAGCCAAGGACTCCCCCCACCCGGGTCCCCCAGTGAGCCAGAGTCCCTGGCCACCCAGATGGTACCTCCGACACTGGAAGGAGCCCAGTGAGAGCCACCGACGCTCTGGGGAAAGTCCCAACTGCACAGGCGGTCTGAGTGCTCGGAGAGGGGCAGGGGGCAGCAAGCAGCCCAGGGCGGGCTGCGTGCGGGCACCAACACCCAGCCATCCAGCCAGCCCAGGAGCTACGGGGACACAGCACACGCCGTGCGGAGCAGACCTCTGGGACCGCCAACAGCCAGGCCACAGCCCAGAAAGCAGTGCCCAGCCCTGGGGCAGCCACAAGGGAATGAGCGGGGTCCACCTGGTCCTCACCCCAGCGCTGAGACAGAGTCACCAGCACAGTCACCCGGGGTGGCCCTCGCCACTGCATGGCGTGGTCTGCCACACCCAGGAAGTGTCTGAAGTTGGGGAGGCCTAACTTCGAGTTGGGGGAGGCCTGCAGCCCCCAGAGCAGTGGTTCCGCTGGGAAGGCAGGGCCCCAGATGCTGGCCCACCAGCAGTATCCCCTGCCACATCCCGTTGCTGCTGTGGCCGTTTGAGGCCGGCTGCACAGACAGTGGGCGTCCTCGTGGGATGTGGGACACGGGGCACCGGGCCGGGAGCTGCCACTTTTCCCCGACCCCGGCTCCATCTGCCTCTCTCATCCCAGGGGCTGAGCTAAGGAATGGCATTTTCGAGGGAAATAGTCAGGGGACCGTTTCCAGGTCCACCTGCCTGTAAAGACCACTCAGCCCGAGGGCAGCTGCTCACAAGGGCTGAGCTCCTGGACCCCGAAGCTGCTCTCCACACACAGGACGCCGGCCCGTAACCTGTGCGGACGAGGAGGCCAGGCCTCTGGCTGGCAGAGGAAGAGGCCGCAGGAAAGCCTGTGGGGATGTGAGAACCAGCCCTGCCATGTGCATGGGGACGAGAGGGTACAGAAACACTCCGCAGAGGCGTGGACACAGGCCAGCGCACATGGCAGGGCTGCTGTGGGGCTGTGAAGAAGAAGCTGTACACTTGCTAACGGACAGCAAGACAGCCGGCCTGTGTCCCCTTCACTGCAGGAGCTAACGTCCACTGGTTAATTCCAGTGATACAACTGGACGTTACTTTGTATCCCCCATGTATACAATCAGACAATCCGCAAGGAAAGCCAGTTGCCCTCCCTGATCTGCATCCACTTCATTCGCTTTTCCTGTCTTATTGCTCTGGCTAGAACTTCCACTCTACCACAGCCTAGAACAGGAACGGTCTTACTCCTTCCTCATCTCAGAGTAATGTTCGTCTCTTTGCATTGACCATAATGTTCGCCCGAAGTTTCTTTCTGGGACCTGTGTGAATTATGACCCTAATTCGGATGCCTGGTCACAGTCCTTTAACGAATGAAGCCCGAAGCCACCTCCACACGGTGACGGTGACACAGAGCCACCTGTGCACATCGCTAACCAAAGCAGACAGCTGAGCAGAGCGCAAATAACACCCGGGCGCACCCAGGCAGAACGGAGGAGCCCCATGGGAGCCTTCCGGCTGGAAGGTTCCAGAGCCGCTCTGCGCAGCGGCGAGAGGGCTTGGCACATGCGTGAACACCAGCTGAACTCTGCGCCCAACGCACGTCACGGGGTTGGTTTGCACCTCAATCCATTCGTTGTAAGATTCCAACCAAAATAGCGTGCAGGTTCCTTCCCGTCGGGTGGGGGCGGAGCCTCACCCTCCAGCACCTGCGGCCTAGGGGCCTGGAAGGCTTGCCGGGAAACCGAGGCGCGGGAACTGCCGGAGTAGAACTCGGCGCGCGGAGGGGGCGGAGCGGGGCGGGGCAGGGGGAGGGCCGCGTAGACCCGGCTTCGGATCCCTTGGAGGGCGGAAGCGCGCAGACCCCGCAGAGCGCGTGTGGGCGGCGGTGCCGGCTGCCGCCCGGACCCTAGCACGTGCCCCCCTTCCCCCTCCCCGACCCCAAGATGTTGCTCCGGCCCCGGCGGCCACCCCCGCCCGCACCCCCAGCATCGCTGGCACACGACGGCTCAGATCTCGAGCCACGGGCGGCCGGGGAGGTCCCAGGAACTCCGCCTGGTCGGCCCAGCTCGCCGGGCGCATCCGGGGCCCCCGAGCCCCTCGGATCCCCAGTGTCCCCAGGCTCAGCGCAGCGTACGCCCTGGAGCGCCCACGAGACGGAGTTGCTGCTGGGCACGCTGCTGCAACCGGCCGTGTGGCGCGCGCTCCTGCTAGACCGCCGCCGGGCGCTGCCCACCTACCGGCGCGTGTCCGCGGAGCTGGCCCGCCAACAGGTGCGGCGCACGCCCGCGCAGTGCCGCCGCCGCTACAAGTTTCTCAAGGACAAACTCCGCGACGCGCAAGACCAGCCGCCCGGACCCTTCGACGCACAGATCCGCGAGCTCATGGGGCTGTTGGGCGACACCGGACGCCGGCGCGGCCGTCGCCGTTCTCCCGGACCTGGACGACCCCCTCGCGGCCGCCGCCCGGCCCCTGGCGCGCCCTCCGAACAGGGTAAGTGGGGTGGGGATGGGGCGAACATGCCGGGCGGGAGACGCTGGTGGGCAGGGAGGGGACTGGTGGTAGGGGACCAGCGATGGTCCGGGCACCCAACCCCACGCGCGCCCTGCATTGCAGAGGCACCGTCGTTGTCCGGCTTCCGAGACACCGACGTGGACCCCGCCTGGGCGCTCCGATTCAACTCTTCCCCGCCCAAGTCGTCCGAGGCCCCCCGACCCGCCGGCTCCCCGACGGCGCTCCCCACCTTGACCCCCGGGCCCGGCCGCCCGGAAGACCACGCGTCGGTCCACGCCCCCGACTCCCCGCCGCCTCTCGACCCCGCCTGGGAAGAGCCCGAATCGCCTCCCGGCCGCCCGGAGAACCCCTCGCCGCCGCAGCCCGCGCCCCCGTCGCTGAACGCCGCCCTCCTCCAGACCCTTGGCCACCTGGGCGACATCGTGGCCGTGCTGGGCCCGCTGCGTGACCAGCTTCTGACCCTGAACCAGCACGTGGAACAGCTGCGTGGCTCCTTCGACCAGACCGTGTCCCTGGCCGTGGGTTTCATCCTGGGCAGCGCTGCCGCCGAGCGGGGCGTCCTGGGGGACCCGCGCCCCTGAGCCGAGCCTGCGCCCGCCCCTTCCGTCGCCAGGACGCCCTCTGCCCTGATCCCGTCCTGTCGCCCTCCCCCACTCCTAGGTACGTTCAATAAAAGACGTTGG